TGCTCCTCTGGGGCTCTGGTTCTTTCTATCTGATCACTGGCTCTGGGAAAGCCAGCTGCCATGACATGTGAGCAACCCATGGCCTGTGTGGTAAGGAAATGAGGTCCCCTTCCAAGAGTCCTGGGAATGGACCCTCCAACTCCAGCAAGCGCCAAACGAATGCAGCCCTGGCAATCAGCTTGATGGCAACCTTGTGAAGACCCTGGGCCAAGACTATCCCTGGATTCCCAATCCTTAGGGATTGTGAGATAAATATTTTTTGTTTTCACTTGCTGAGTTTTAAGGTAATCTCACATAGCAATAGAAAACTAATACCTCCAACAAAACAATGAATGACTTTGGTGTGGACTGTCTAAGCTTTGGGAGTTAACATGTGGAGAGGACACACACTTTGCTCCTTCCAGGTCCCCCGTATCTATCCAAAATTTCAAACCCAATAGTCTGCAGAAACTCTGAAGAATCCGGACCTATTTGCTGTTGTTATGTGCCATCGAGTCTGACCCAACTCACAGCGACCCCTCCTTGGGTTTCCAAGGTGGTGTCGCTACGGAAGTAGACTGCCCAACCTTTCTTCCAAGGAGTGGCTGGTGAGTTTGAACTGCCAGCCTTCGGGTTAGCAGTCAAGTGCCTTAGGCACTATGCGACCAGAGTCATGCTTAAATTCTTGTACAGGTTCTTTATTCATAGAAATGACCCTTTAAAGAAGAACAAAATCTGTGATTATGAAACTTGTTGGACGTGGAATGAGCCAATCCACTGCCATCCAATTGATTCCCACTCACAGCGCCCCCAGAGGACAGAGTGGGACTGTCCCACGGCTTCCCAGGCTGTCAGTCTTTACCAAAGCAGACTGCCATATCTTTCTCCCAACGGAGTAACTAGTGGGTTCAAACCACTGACTTTCTGGTTAGGAGCTGAATGCCTTAACCACTGCATCACTAAGGCTCCTACTTATAACAAGCAGAACTCAGTTAAGGAGTGATAGGAAAAGAAATTATTTCCACAGAAAGATTTTTAGTTCAGAAACAGAATTTAGCAAAATTCACAGAGATGAATAGCTTATCCAAACAATCCAGAAGGGGACCTATTTTATACAAAAGCTATCCTCCTATTACCCCAATACCTAGCTGTAGAGCAGGTCACTCTAAGCTCCTGACTAAGCTTCAGCAGGAAGAGCTCACCAACATCATGGTGCAGTGATTACACTGAGCAACAGTCCAAGGGCTTCAAAGGCCAGGGCATGTGTGAAAGCAACCACGCTAAAAAGAAAGTTTAGATTTAAAAAAAACTGCCATAGAGCCGAATCCACTCATAGTGACCCGCACTGGGTTTCAGAGGAGGAAATCTTGAGGGAAGTAGATTGTTCCATCTCCCTTCTGCTGAACGGCTGGTGGGTCTGAAATGCCAGCCCTTTGGTTATCAGTCAAATGCCTTAGGCACAAGAGCGCCTTAGATGTTTAGTTGCTGCCAAATATGAGAAGCTAATAATTATTTGTTCAGATACTAAAAAGAAAGCCTAGATATTAAAACCAAAAAAGATTAAAAACACTGAGCTTTCAAGAGCAGCTGGCCTTTAGTCCCTCAGCTGACAGTGACAGGAAGGAACAAGAGCCCAGGACTCCTTTACTAACATGGAATAGGGTGGAGCTCAAGGGACCAGAAAGGAACAGCTGTGCTCCCTGCCCTGTCCCCTTCTGGCAGCCCAGGTGGGAAGGGCAGCCCTCAGATGCCATGCACTCTACCTGATGATGGAATCAAAAGTAGACGCCTGGCCTCAGGGCAGCAGCCCAGAGACCTCAGGCAGGTCCTGACTCAAACCATCAAGTTCACCGTCAGATCGCCCCTCTAAAATGTTAGAGATCAAGGTTAAGAGAGACACGCAGAAACGTGCTGTACACAGAGCTCAGAGAGTGGAGGAAAGGTAGTACAAGAGTAAGCAGAAATCAGGAAGTAGAGACAAGGATGGAGGCTGGAGGCGATGGGGAGACGAAACAAAGCTGCTCTCTGGGTGGGAGATCCCCTCTGAAGTGAGGCCTGAGGGCAAAGACTCAGTGACCAGCTCTCCTACAGACCTTTGTCTAGCTGGGTCCAGGTTAGAGGCACCTGAACCCTTCAGTGAAACCCCAGTTGCCCGAGGCCACGTGAGAGCCATGCCCTGTGAGCACAGGGGTGCGACTAAAGCAGGCAGTGGGGTCAGAGGCCTGCCTCTCATGTCAGGGTCCTGTGGCCTAGGCCACAGCAGAGTTTCAAAGTACAGCTGTTGGAGGAATGACTGAGTGAATGATCAGCAGCCTGTCCCCAGAATTTCATTTCCCATGACAGCCTGGCAGTAGCTCCTAAGGTGGACGGGCTTCCCAGTCCACAAGCTGCCTTCACAGACATTTATTACTTTTCTTCTTTACAACGGCAGCCCTGTGGGAACCCCAAGAATGCTATTAGCTTCACTTACAGATAATTATTATCTCCATTTTACTGATGAGCAAGTTGAGGCCTGAAGAAGTTAGTAACTTGCTCAAGGTCATATCACTACGGACAGAACCCAGCATTCTTGCCATCACCAGAGCCAAGGAGGCTGGACCAAAATACCAATTTTATTTCCAACAACACTAATGGCATTGTGCCTCACACTCCTCTCAAGCAGAGTCACATCTCTTAGATGATTTGTCACAAATCATCCGAGTTGGGTGACAAGGGAACATGCAGGCATGAAGGGCAGGCCTGGTTACTTCCTGTCAGGGTTTAGTTGCACAAGCTTCGACAGGGTACAAAAAACCACTCTCGGAAGTGTGGTTATAGTCACAGGACATGGGTGGGGAGTGAGGGGCAGGACACATTGAACTGACAGGCAGAAAGTGGGCAGGGCAATGACCTGACCAAGAAAAAAACAGTGAAGGAGAGAGCTTGGCTGTGAAGGAAGATCACTAACAACCCAACAACAGAAGGAAAGGCAGTTTATTGGGATAAATTAACAGGAGCCTCCACTTTGGGGTCTGTTCTCTCCACAAACCACCCAAACACAGCACCCTTGTTTCCTAAGGGGGAGCGAGTCTAGCAGGACGCTGACTCATAATCTTTCCTGTTCCAGTTCACACACATTTTGCAAAATCAGGTCCATTCTAGTTTCAGTTTGCTGGCCACGACTGAACCCTGAACCGGTGTGAAGCTCTGTCTGTAAGGCTGTGCTGTGCTGGTGGAGAATACAGGCTGCCAAACCAGCCCAACCAGCTCTGAAACTGTGCCATCACTTCCTAGCTCTAACCCTGGACAAGTCACTTTTTCCTCATCTGTAAAGTATTTCTTTCACTTAGTTTTGAATATTAAATGAGAAAATTACACAGTGTTTGATGTGGAACCAGGTACTAGTTAGTACACAGTAATATTACTGTTACAATCTTCCTTGTGCAGGATGTGGGGATTCTAAAAAGCACAGAGACCAACCTCAGTCACCATCATCTGCCAGAATCCTGTAATACAGACCCTTCTCGTCTTGGCCTTTTCTAGCCAACAAGTGTTCCAGGTCGAAGCAATGAGCAGCCACAGAGCTTAGCAAATGAAAGTACAAGTGGGATTAGCACGAGCGGCCCCTAGGAAGGGCAGCCAGGGAAGGGGGACTGTGAGTTACCTCCATGCTGCCCCACGTGGTGGACTTTGTACTCCCAACACCAGGAAGGGGCCTTTCCTGAGCAGAGGAGTGTAGCCCAGCAGGAAAGCAGCCGACAGATGGCCTCCCCCACTTTCATGGTACAGAGCCTCCTCGTTTCCCATCAACAGACCAGGGGTCTCCTGGGCCAGATCCTGGCCCAGAAATGGCTTCCTGAAATGAGTCGGCTGGTCAGCATGCCTCTCCAAGGAAATAACTCCAATGTTCTGACAGGATGGTTATCTACCACAAAATAAAGGCCTGTGGAAGGAATATGCCAGACTCCCGCCCCAGTCAAGAGGTGCTCAGTTACCTAATGACCTTCCTTCCAACCAGTCCTTCCTCTAAACCCTCGGGCTGCAGTTGGAGCATTGGGCGGGGGAGTGGAGGTGGGGGGTGGCGAAGTAAGATGGCTGTCACCCTCCTGGTATCAGAGCACGCAGGGTGATGCCACTCAGCCCTCTGGGTGCCAGGACATCAGAAGTGTTCTCAGGGAGGTCCCCTGGCACCTCCCTGAGTTCCAGAAGCCAGATGAGGGCGCAATTTGCAGGATGGCTCCGACTCCGCCCCGTGGTGCGTCGCTGTGCTGCGTTTATCCCAACCCGCAAGCGCTCGGCTCGGCCCTCGGCGGCGTCGCTTGCTGGTGCACGGCGCCCCACAGTCTCCCTGACTGTCTCTTTCACACACACACACACACACACACACACACACACACAGAATTCGCGCCGGTCAGAACTCCCCCGCAGCCTGCAGGCCTCTTCCCAAGAAGCCGGGCGACGGTCTTCCGTCCTCTGCGTTCTGCTACAATCGCTAGTTAGCTGTGAAAGGGCCCCGAAGTCGACGTTAACGCCATCCAGCCAACCCAACCGTCCGCTCATTCGCCAGGTCCGGAAAACACTGCTGGAACAGGAGGCAAGATGGAGCTTGCTCTGAAGACACCCGAAGAAACCCACCCCTTCTTCTAGCGCGCGCGCGCGCGCGCGGGAAACGGGGACGCAGCACTGAGGGCCGCGAAAATCCGGCATGCGGCCGGCGAAGCCTACGGCGCCAGGCCCCTAGCCGTTTTTCTGCGATGACGTCTGCGCCCGGTGCGCGTCTGTGTAGCCTCCGGCAGACGGGGGATGCGCCTGCTAGGCTCGCCGTTGCATTCCCGGCGCTCGGCGCGTTGTAGGACCTCAATAAACGGTTGGGGAACCCGACAGCGATTGGAGGCGCCAGCGAAAATAGGTGGCCCGCCGCCCTAGGAAAGCAGACCCCGCCGATAGCACCGCGGAGCCTTGGGGGACTCGACTGCGCAGGCGCTGCCAGTGCGTAGGCATCCCGGACGCCCCGCTCGCGCAGGCGTCATGCGTGAGCCAACATGGCGGCCGCGCTGCTGCTGTTGCTGCGCGCTCTACGCCAGGGCCCGGGCCCAGGGCCCGGACAGCTGCGGAGCGTGGGCTCGAGCTGGAGCCCAGGCCCCTCCGCCGAGGTCTGGAGAAGTTGGCCATGCTTCGCCCAGGGACCTCTGGGGGGCCTCGCTGGGCCTGGAGGCCGAGCCCTGCAGGTAATCCTCGGCCCGCTCGGCCTCCGCTCCGGTAGTGGGCTAGTGTGCTTGGCGGCTCCACGGAGGCCCTGGGCACCCGGCGGAGGAGCTCGGCTGCCTCCGCCCCATCCAGCTGGACGCCCTGGACGTTGCTTTCGGAGGGCTTGTGTTTTTTCTCTAACTGGACATTGGAAGTTTTACCCCAGAACAGCTCATCTCAGTGGTGTGCAGTAACTGAAACATGGGTAAACAGACCGGGAGAGGAGGGCGCGATGCCGCTGCCCTCCACGTGGGTCTTCCCAGCCCTCACACCTTGTAGTGGAGTTGTCGCCCCCTCTTACTGCCGTTTTGCAGTTGAATTCAGTAAGAGCATCACCATTTTGTAGGAAAGAATTCTTTCACAGTTGACTGTTAGCAAGACCTTCCAAATGGTAGTCTGCCATTTCTCTGAGTGGGCTGTCAGGAAGTTCCTTGTATTTGCAGAATATCATGTAACTATTTAATTTTTGTGATATAGTTTGACACATTATGTGTTTCATTTATTACCTACTTCTTCAGCGCCTCCCACGTGGAGATACCCTAGGTTTCTCTAATACTGCTCTTAGCTGACTTCCAGTCGGCTCCTGATTCAAGGTGGAAGAGAGCAGTTTATGCATAAGGTCAGTAACACTGCTTTACCTCACCAGCTTTCATGTGGCCACCAAAACTGTGCATGCTCAAGCGGTTATGATCAGATCCCAACGCTGAGCCCCTGATGGGGCACCATAACCCAAGGAGGACCAGCCAACAACCTACTTTGTGTGGCCCAAAGTGTCAAAGTGATCAGTTGCCAGTTACCCTGTTGGGACCCATAGGGTTTTTGTTGTCTGATTTTTGGAAGTAGGTCCCCAAGGCTTTTCTTCCTACTTACTTTGAGTCTGGAAACTCCACCGAAAGCTGTTCAGCGTGACGGCAGCATGCAAGCCTCCACTGATGGCTGGCTGGTGGCTGAGGTGCAGTGGGTGGCAACTGAACCCGGGTCTTCCACACAGAGGGTGAGAACTCTGCCACTGAACCACCTGTCCTCTCCACTGAGATTAACTATATCCTGAAAACAAAAAGACCCTAAGCCTTTGTGCCTTATAGCTGTCTTTTTGTTTGTTTTTGCTTTTCCCCCAGCACTCTCTTAGGAGTTCAACCTTACATTGTTAAAAAAAAAAAAAAAAGAAAAAGAAAGTAGCTCTGGTGGCTAGTGCCTAAGGCTAACCAGAAGGTTAGCGTTTCAGACCCACCAGCTGCTCTGCGAAAGGAAGATGAGGCAATCTACTCCTGTAACAATTTACCACCTTGGAAACCCAATAGGTTCTAATTTATTATTATTATATTTTGTCATAATTTACAAGGAGAAATTTGAATTGTAATACCATATTCTAGACTACTGGCTACTCTTCTTGAATCTGAGGCAACTATAGATTTCCTCCATGTTCTTAGTTGTTAGGTTCTGTTGAAAATAACTTGTTTTCTTTAGTCTGACTCTATGCCTTGAAGAGAACTCTTGCTTTGTGAGTATAAGAACTAAAGTAGGGAATTCACACTTGGGACATCAAAACAGATTGTCTCACCAGCAGCTAAAACAATAAAGTATCCTTGGTTTAAACAAACAGACAGTAGGGACTGCAACTCTTCTGGTTTATCTAACACGCTCTGCAGCCACACTCTGTGCCCCCTACACTCCCCATATGACTCTTCTGGTCGTCACTGAGCCAAGAACAGGAGTATTCGCTAGACAGACCATCAGCTATAACAGACAGGATTTTCACTCTGTGACACGTACTCTTTGGCAAACAGCGCGGAGCAAGGTGTTACTGTTTGTCATAGCAGCAACAGAACAGGCTGAGTTCGGGGAAAAAATACATACCAGAAATGAAAAAATGACAACAGAGAGACAGGGAAAACAACATAGGGCCATTGGCCTTCCAAACCTAAAACAACTGGTCGCTCCTCGTCAGGAGCAAAGAAGAATGAAGGAAACCAAAGACGCATGGAAATAAATAGTTCAAGGGACTAGTGGACCATGCAAACCTCAGCCTACATGACCCTGAGACCCGAAGTAGATGGTGCCCAGCTACTATTATCAGCCGCTCGGAAAGGGATCAGTATAGGAGATCCTGGGTAGAGTGGGAGAAAAATGTGCAACAAAACTCAAAATAGTGAAAAAGACTAGGCTTATTGGTCTGATAGCGACTGGTGAAACCCACACAACTGTGACCCCTTGACCCTTCAGGCCTGGAATTGAATTCACTCCCCTGGCTTACCTTCCAGCCAGACAATAGACAGTCCTATGAGGTGAACAATGGTACCAGGTAGGTACACTCCAGGGGAGATCAGAAGGGCAGCATTTGCACAGGGAGATAGTTCAGATGGCAGGACTATATAGGAAAGGACACAGGGAAAAGGTAACCAACAGGGAGGAAGTAGGAATAGGGCTGTTACATCGTGAGGATTGCAGTCAATGTCATGAAACAAAATGTGTATAAACTGTGTATGGAGAATGACTTTGCTCTGTAAACTTTCACCCAAATCACAATAATTTAAAAAGCAAAACATAAAAACACATTCAGGTAGGAGAATACTCAAGTTGGGAATCAGGTTAGTGAACTTGCTGTGGTGGTTGGGAATATCCTATAAGGGAATCATCTCTGCGGATGTCAGGTGCAAGGGGTCTGGGCACTCCCTGCTGCCATGGGAGCACTGGTCTCTGGCATGCCCTCCCACCCTGCTGGCCTGCTGGGGTGCGGTGCCTCAGATCACAGAGTGGCTGCCAGTGCACCGTTTGGTGTGTGTAGTTCAGGGCTTCGTTTGCTCAGTTGCTTTTGACCTTTTGATTTTATCTTACAGCTGACAAAAATGCCCATTTTACTTCACGTATTGCTCAGGGCAATGTAAACTTTACAGATATTTAAATAAGTCTTTGAGCAGTTGTTGTTGTTTTAAGATTTTTGCAGTGAGGAGCTGCCTGCGTCGCTTTACTCTGCGGTGCTGCTGGTCTGACCCTGGGTATTGTTTTTTTTTCCAGAGCTTGCAGTTGCCACTCCTGACCCCTACCTTTCAAGGGATCAGTGGACTGTTACTGAAACAGCATCTAACTAAGAATCCAGTTAGACTCTGGAAACTTTTAGGTATGTACGCATTGAAAGACAGAAATGTCAAGATTGGAGCATGTTTTCTCTACCGGACTAGCAGAGCCTTTGTTTGTGAAACAATTAGGATAATGTCGCTGGTGTGACGTTGACAGGAGGAGGAAATCTGTCCATTTCTTTGGCCACTAAGTGGACCTTTGGCGTCTGTTTATTGAGGCCCAGTCCTCAGAGTCTGAAATGAGTGCACAGAAGAGTCTGTCTAAGACCTGAACGGGCTGTTCTGGCTTCTTTAAGTTGCCTTTTTTTTTTTTTTTTTTTTAATTCTCGTGTTTAATTATAATTGGGCTGTTCAAAGAAAGGTTTCCCTGTTACCCAGTGGTGCTAAGTGTTTCATGTCCAGAAGGTAAAAACACCCTGCAGCTAACGTACCTTTAGGGGAGCTCTGGCATTTGGCTCCTGAACAAAAGGTTGGTGGTTTGAACCCACCGTCCGCTCTGTGGCAGAAAGATGAGGCAGTCGACTTCTGTGAAGATACATAGCCTTGGAGACCCTCTAGGGGCGCTGTAGGTCGGAGTCAACTCCAAGGCAGTGGGTGTGGTTTGGGCTTTGCTTCCGTGAAGATTGACAGCGTTGGAGACCCTGTGGGCAGCTCCACTCTGTCCTCTAGGGGCGCTGTGGGTCAGACTCGACTGAGGCAGTGGCTTTGGTGGATTAATGTGCCTTTATAATAGAATGGTTCTCTTTAATGAGACATAGGCATTCTGTGCTTGACCTTCTTAAAGGACTTTAAGGGTCGACAACGTGTCATTTCACTCCTTTACCCAGCTGTAACAGGGATGGAAGTGACCCATTCTTTGTGCCAATTTGCAGTAAGCTGTCTGTGGCCCTGCGTGTGTGAGAGAGAGCAGTGGATGCCACCTGGCTTGTGGCTGGCTGCTCGCACCTCTGCCCTCCACATTTTAAGTTTTCTCACTTAACTGTTCTGCCGGGCCAGCAGGCTCTTGAGACAGGAAGCACATGCTTCAGCCCCCATCACAACAGGGGCTATAAGCCAGGGTGGTTTTGTTTGGGATTCTATTCATGCCTCTAAGTTAGAACGTTACTGTTGGGGTCATGGCTGTAAACCCCCTTTTCTCCCTTTATAAACAGACTGCTGAGCTGGGACCCCTGCAGAGCCTTCTGTGGGAGGAGTTTCACTCTGGCCTGTCTTGGCCGTAGCTGCTGGGTTTCTGCTGTTGTCTCCTGTGCCAGGGTCCCTTGTTTATTCTCCCTTCACTTAACATAACCTAGTATATCAGAAGGATGGCTCCAGTGTTTACTCAAGCTTGTGTTCACATTGAATGTTTACTGCCTCACATTGGTTCATTCAAACAGCAAAGATATTTAACTTCGTAAGTTGAAATTGTTTCTTTTTTGCAACTGGGAAATACTGTGCTAAGCAGGACAGAAAGAAGTGCCATGCTGTCTTCATAAACGTATGCATCTGTGCTCAGGTGCTCAGATTGTGGCTGGGTCTTTGGAGAACGTGGGCTTCCCTGGCTGTCTCCCCAGAGCTGCAGACTTGGGCTGGTAAATCTTTTGGTTCCTTGCAGGTGGTGCCTGCTATTTCAGCACCTCCGGGATGAAGCAGAATAGTAAGGACAATGACAAATCCAGGGCAAAGACTCCTGAAGACAATGAAGGTAAATCTGTCTGCTGCTCTTAAGCAGTGCAGCCTCTGCTTGTCTGTGTGTATCTATCCTAGTGTGAGCACCATGAAACCACTTAGACTCAAAACAGCCTGCACACCTGGCCTCTCTGTCCAGTCTGGGCTGCCCTCTTGGAGCTGATTCCATCACACTGATGTGCCAAGGAGCCTGATGTGTCAGGAGCCTGTGGAAAGGTGGACAAGACTGCTGGGTCTTGTGAGGGACACAGGCGTGGAGAGATGGTCTCCTTAAAAAGCTCGCTCTTAATTAGGTACCGACACAGCTGGCTGCTGTGTGCTGCAGGGGTGTGGCCTCAGTGCAATCCAGGGGTGTCCTCGGTGTGTGTTATCTGGAGGGGGCCTGGGTAGTATGGAGAGGCTCTGAGAGCCCTGTAGGGGCACGTTTGCCTCCTCAGGAGTGGCCCCTTCATAGAGTCACACTTCTCAGAGCCCCAAGATGCATAAGGGTCCAAGTCATCTCAGAAATGCTTTGTACAGTGGCCCCTGGCCTTGTTGGTGCTTTTCCAGCCCTGACGTTGGCACACAGCCAGCACATCCACTCCCCTGAGCTCTCCTAAGTGAAGGCTGATCTGAGCTCATGGCATCTTACCCTGCGTTTCTATTTTTCTCCTTGGCTACCCTTGTCAAGAGGAAAGGAAGCGGAAGGAGCGAGAGGACCAGATGTACCGCGAGCGGCTGCGTACCCTGTTCATCATTGCGGTCGTCATGAGCCTGCTCAACTCCCTCAGCTCCAGTGGTGGCAACATCTCCTGGAATGACTTTGTCAATGAGATGCTGGCCAAGGGCGAGGTGCAGCGTGTCCAGGTGGTACCTGAGAGCGACGTGGTGGAGGTCTACCTGCACCCAGGAGCCGTGGTGTTTGGGCGGCCGGTGAGTAACTGAGGCGCCCCCTGGGGCAAGCTCCTGGAAAAACTGCAGACTCTTATCTGAGTCCTTTTCAATTCAAGCTCCGCCTCCCCTGTGAGCTTGGCCTGCCAGGGGCAGGTGTTCCTAAAACCCCAGTCTTTATACCTACAGCAGTCGTCTGCCAGTGATGTTGCATCGCTGCGTGTGGTCCTCATACTCAGCCCACAGTTGTGCTGAAACCCATGTCAGGGCCAGCGGGTGGGCAGTTGACAAAGCAAACAGCCCTGCCCCCTTCTAGTTTTCTTCTAAGTGGGAAATGGAGAAAGTACACCTGACGGAGTTCTGTGTAATTGTGCTTAAGAGAATGGGCCCTTTCCTAGACTCGAGAGTCCTTTCTGAATGGCAGAGCAAGGTGGCGTCTTCCAGGATGCCAGCGTCTGTAAGATGTGCCACAGGGGCTGCTGACTGGGAGTAGGCAGCCCTCCCCTGGGCCTGCATCTCACAGTGTCCTTTGCTTTGTGTCCCAGCGGCTGGCCTTGATGTACCGGATGCAGGTCGCCAACATTGACAAATTTGAAGAGAAGCTTCGAGCAGCTGAAGACGAGCTGAATATCGAAGTAAAAGATAGGATCCCAGTGTCCTACAAGCGAACAGGATTCTTTGGAAAGTATGTGTTCAGCTCTGTGGTCTCTGTACCAGGCCGGGTTCGTGTGGGAAGGCTGTAGAAACAGGCATTGTCTGTGGCTGGCCATGCCTGGGCGGGACCAGAGTGCCTGTGTGCAAGAATGACCTAGTGGGGAGATGGTGAAATGGTGCAGGCCTGCCAAGTCTCCTCCATTCCTCTCTCTGACATTTCTTTGTCCACCCGTGGGATTGCTGTCTTCCACAAATGGGAACACAGAGGGGAAGGGGAGAGATAGGATGCCCAGAAGCAGTCCTCGTTTGGGCCTGTAGAGAGATACAGGGAGGAGCTAGTTGTCACTTTGGGCCTGACAGCTTCCTTGGTGGAAGTGAGTTCATCGGCTCCATCTCTCAGACAACTGGCATTGTGCAGCGAGGTGGAGTTTATGCTGGCCGGCAGGCAGAGGTGCACACGTGGCGTAGTGCTGACGGGAGATGGGTGCCAGTGACAGTTGCACCTCGAGTCCACGGCCCAGGGGCTTCCTTAAGTTGCTCTGATTTAATGTTGGGGTGATGGGCAGGCAGCAAGGACCCGCCTGGGGGAGGCATTGGAGTCTAGGAGTAACATGGTACTGCTGTATTGTTTTGCCTTCTGAATCACCACCCTCATGGTAGAAACATGAAAGCCGCTCTTAGTGGGCAGACACAGGTCCAGGTATGCTCCATGTGGCTCCAGTGGCTTCATGGGGCCCATCAAGTCAGTGTGCAGGCTCAGATCTAGGAAGACTCTGGAAGAGGGTGATTGGCAGCAACAGAGAGAAACCCTGTTTTCACTGCCGTTTTGTTCTGCGTACTGGTTCCAAAGTTAGGTGTTACTTTTCTCATGTTGTCAGGCTGTAGAAGGTGATCTGTTAGTGGTCAGGGCATGGCCGTGATTCCATAACTTGCCCTTCTTCCCTGTTCTCTCTCCCATTAGTGCCCTATACGCCTTGGGCATGACGGCCGTGGGCCTGGCCATCCTGTGGTACATTTTCCGCCTTGCTGGGATGACAGGCCGTGAAGGTGGATTCAGTGCTTTTGTAAGTCGCACAACATCTCCCCACACTCGCAGCCTCAGGCTTGTCTGTACTTGCCAAGTACATGTCCCCAAGTGACAGTATAATCTGCAGTAAAATCAGCCCTGGACATGCCAGCCTAGGGCCACAAGGCAGTACCTCACCTCCCTCTAAGCAGCCAGCTGGAGGGTGGACGAGGCCCACCCCGAGTGTGTTTGTAGGGCATGTTGTCCTGTGATACTCAGATAACCAGGAACGACAGTGTCTAGGTTTCCCTACTAGCTCAGAAGCTGGGGAATTTTAAAGGTTGTCTTTAAAAGAATGTCCTTCATACATTTAAAACACTCTTGTCACGGCAGTCGTCATAAAGTATACTTCTTCTAGTGATTTCTCTCGAATTGAGTAGGGTATAGCCAAATGGATAGACAGCTGAGTCCCAGATCTGGAGGGACCGAGTGTCCCTGTCAATGTGGACTGACCAGCTTGGACATACAGCTGAGTCTCAGATGCAGGGGTACTGATTGTCCCCTCTGTTGGGTGGCACAGCCCCTCCTTTATTTTTTTCTGCACAGAATCACCTCAAAATGGCTCGTTTCACTATTGTGGATGGAAAGATGGGGAAAGGTGTCAGCTTCAAAGACGTGGCAGGAATGCATGAAGCCAAATTAGAAGTCAAAGAGTTTGTGGATTATCTAAAGGTGAGAGCCACGTGTTGAGCGAGAAGAGGCTTTTTTTTTTTAAAAAGTACAGGAGTGAGCAGGAGGCACATCCAGCTCCCTGGGAGGAAGCCTGAGGCAGCAGACTTCCTGGGACTAGGGCCTGGGATCTGTTGACTAATGTGTATGGGGGCAGAGCCTCCTCCCTGGCGTGCAGATAACTACATTTGTTGTCTTGTCCTCCTCTCCGGGACATGCTCAGGGTAGTCTTGTGAAAGAAGGGCTCTGAGAACCTATTGTGGACTCGCCCCAACTGTCATAGGGTACCAACGCTGGACCACAGGTGTGGCCTGTCCATAAAAGTATGGGAGGTGTGGGCACATCAGGCACCTTGACAGACCTGGCTCTGTGCCATTCTCTCTGCCCCACCCAGAGCCCAGAACGTTTCCTCCAGCTTGGAGCCAAAGTTCCAAAGGGTGCGCTGCTGCTCGGCCCCCCTGGCTGTGGGAAGACCTTGCTGGCCAAGGCGGTGGCCACAGAGGCCCAGGTGCCATTCTTGGCCATGGCTGGCCCTGAGTTTGTGGAAGTCATTGGAGGTAGGTGTTGTCAGGGCCCAAGCTCACTCTCCTGGCTTGGGACACTCTCCTTTCACGTCTCCTTCCTTGAGGGCAGTGTGGGAGAGGGGAACACCGAGTTCACTGTCTTGGTGCTGCACTCCCCACAAGGTGTAGAGGTTGGGAGCAGTGTGCGTCCTCAGGCGTGGAGGACAGTGGGGTGTAATGAGAGGAAGAAGCTCGTTCAGATGGAGTGGAACAGCTAGTGTAACTTCCCATTGTCCCTTAGTGCCCCACATTGTCCCCTAGGCCTCGGTGCTGCCCGGGTGCGGAGCCTCTTCAAGGAAGCCCGTCTCCGTGCCCCCTGCATCGTGTACATCGATGAGATCGATGCCGTGGGCAAGAAGCGCTCCACCACCATGTCTAGCTTCTCCAACACAGAGGAGGAACAGACGCTCAACCAGCTCCTGGTGGAAATGGACGGTGAGCACATGGATGCATGTAGGGCTGGGAGGATAACGTCCCCTCCAGGCAGAGAGGACGCTGCCTGACCACCACGTAGGGCAGAGAGGATGCTGCCTCCACCAAGTAGGGCAGAGAGGCTATCCCCCCCACCACGTAGGGCAGAGAGGACACCATCTCCATGACGTAGGGCAGGGTGGACGTCCCCCCTACCACGTAGGGCAGAACATGCCGCCTCTATCACATAGAGCAGAGAGGATGTCCGTCTCACCATGTAGGGCAGAGAGGACATCCCTCCACCACATAGGGCAGAGAGAATGCACCCCCCAACATGTAAGGGAGAGAGGACAGCTCCCCTGCCAGGCAGGGCAGACGGGATGTCCCCACACCACAGGCAGAGCAGAGAGGATGGCCTCCCCTCTAGGTAGGACAAAGAGGACATCCATCATCTACGTCCCATCCCCTACACATCCCTGTGCCCCACCTCCCAAGACTGCAGCTCTTGCACAGATGAAGCTGTGTGTTTGGTACTTGGCGTCTTAAGCTAATGTTGGAGACAAAAACGTGGCCATGGGTGAGGGTGATTAGTGTCCAGGGAGCTGGTCTCTAGCAGTCACCAGGAGCTAGGTTCATCTCGCTGCTTCCAGCACCAGCTTTCCATCGCAGAGAGACTGGGAATGTCAGTGGTAGATAGAGGATTATTTTTGGATTCCAGCAGGCCATTGCGTGGTGTGTGCTGGCAGATGCCACCTGGTTGAACTGTGGCACCAGTTAGGGGCTAGGTGGACATTGGTGAGGACCACGTCAGCCAGGCTGCTCTGAGTGGGTGCTGTCAGACCATGTCATTATCCTCAGAGGGAGCCCCGGCTGGAATACGTGCCGGAATGACCCAACGAAGGGGACGTGTTTTTCTTTTTAAGCTATTTTTGCAAGATCAGTGTTTGATACTACTTTTCTTCAGTCAGAATTCTAGTTCCATTAGACATTACACAGTCTCTGTGGCATCAGCCCTAACTCCTGGCGCCCCACGTGTGTCAGAGTCAAACTGCTCCAGTGCTTGCCGTGGCTAGATTTTCAGGAGATCCCCAGGCCTGCCTCTCTCTGAGGCCTCTGGGCGACTCCAATCCCCAGCGCTCCCATGAGCAGTTCTCGCTCCCGTAAGCAGTTCTCGGGTTAGAAACTTGTTGCCTGCGAAGCCCAGCCCACAGACTGTCAGGGTTGAGCCACCAGTGATCATGGTATGGCCACCCGGCTGGAGGTGCGGTGACAAGCTGATAGTACATACCGTGAGTGCTCACAGGACACATGGTGCCCTCCATCGTGGGCAGAGCCCAGGCTGTGTGTGTACCCGCTCTGCTGACCACTGGGGTTGCAGCTGCTTTCAGAGCCTGAGACCGAGTGCTCTTGTGCTTAAACACGCCCCCCCCACCCCCCGTGGCAGAAGTCACGTGACAAGCAGTTCTGAAGGACGGTTCTGAAGGACACGTGTCTGCACTTTCTCCAGGAATGGGCACAACAGATCATGTCATCGTCCTAGCGTCCACAAACCGGGCCGACATTCTGGACAACGCACTGATGCGGCCTGGCCGGCTCGACCGCCACGTTTTCATTGACCTCCCCACCCTGCAGGTGGGGACATGGGCATGAGCCCATCGCAAACTTTGCGGGCAGTCCAGTCAGTGGGGCATGGGTGCGCAGACTTTCCCACCCAACTTTGGCCGTGTCTTTATAGCACCTACAGGCACTTCTTGACCCACTCCCACAAGCCCCACAAGCCCCACAAGCCCCTCCGCAAACCCCACAGCAGCTCTTCCCTGCGGGTGGACGTGTTGCAGAAGTGCCTGGCGGCTTCCTGCCGTGAGCATTGCCGGGCCACATCTTATCCCACGTTTCCTTCTGCTCTGGCAGGAGAGGAAAGAGATCTTCGAGCAGCACCTCAAGAGTCTGAAGCTGATGCGGGAGAGTGGATTTTACTCACAGCGTCTGGCAGAGCTGACGCCCGGGTTCAGTGGTAGGAAGCCATTTCCCTCCCAATGAGTGCATCTCCCCATGCTGAGAGTATGTGGGGGAGACCCCAGGTGGCTGCACTGTCCTGATAGGCCCTGGTGGGAGCCACAGTCCCTGATTTACAACAGGTTCCATTCCAGTGACTGTGTTGTAAGTTGGTTGTGACATAAGTCGGTTATATCCAGGTTTTATGATTATTGCTTTAGTTACCAGAATCTTTATAAACCCACTTCTGTACATCTGTGGGTGAACATGTGAGAATGCTAACGTCAGCAGATTGGGTATTGCAGTGTTGTATGCACACCACTAACGACGACACACCAAGAAAATCAGAAGGGTCATGAGTGTAGTCTGTCATTCAGATACGTTATAAGCCGGGGACCACCAGGGCTGCACCCATGTGCAGTGCCCCTCAAGGGTGCTGGCTGTGTGGGGGACACTCTTCCCCACCCCCTCAGCCTGGAATCCACCCCCAGACATCCTGGGACCCCAGCTTTCCTCCTCAGTGCTGCCCACATTCAGAGCCCACGTCCTGCTGCCCCTCACAGGCTCGAGGTCCCAGCATGCCCCATTGCCCACTGTTTGGGTTCATAGGTGCTGACATTGCAAATATCTGCAACGAGGCTGCACTGCACGCCGCACGAGAGGGGCACACGTCTGTCCACACCTCCAACTTTGAATACGCTGTGGAGCGCGTGTTGGCAGGTATGAGGGGCCGTGTTCTCCCGCAGGGGCCTGTGTCCTTGGTGCTGTTAAAGCAAGGCCTTTATACCAGAAATGAATGACAGTGTGGCAGAAGGGCCACGATTCAGGCCTGTGTATCCCCCACACCGTGGTATAGCGGGGGGGAGGGCCCCTGCCTGGGGTTCAGCAGGGTGGAGGGGACCCAGTGCAGGCCTATGCATGCCCCCCTCCCTGTGGTACACGTAAGTCATATGGCTTGAGGCAAGCCAGGTCATGCTGAGGAGGCGTCTTCTGGAACTGCATGGCCCACCTCCTGGCACCCTCCTAGGCACTGCCAAGAAGAGCAAGATCCTGTCGAAGGAGGAGCAGAGGGTGGTGGCATTCCATGAATCGGGCCATGCACTGGTTGGCTGGCTCCTAGAGCATACAGAGGCCGTGATGAAGGTGGGTGCAGTGGGTGTGAACTTCCCAGTCCTGGAGTACAGTAGCTCCAACCTTAAGTGCATGGGATGGTGTGTGTGTGTGTGTGTGTGTGTGTGAGGGTAGTACATGCATGTGTGCAGATATGCAAATGAACACATGTGCATGCATGTGCAGTGTGCACATGTGAATGTACATGTGTACTTGTGCAGCATGCAACTGAGTGCACGTGTGAGTGCATGTGTGTGGAATGTAGTGTTGGCACGTGTGTGCATACATGAGTGTACCTATGTGCAGCATGTGAGTGTGCATGTGGAGTGTGTGTGCAGATGCATGTGCGCAAATGAGTGCATGTGGGTGCACATGTGCAGTGTAGTGTGTATGTGGGCACATGCAAGTAAGCATATGTGCATGCATGCAGGTGGAGTGTCACAAGTGCATATGAGTGCACATGCACTGCGCACATGTGCGTGTGCATGTGAATGCATTCATGTGTGTTCATATGTGCAGATGAGTCTGCACCTGTGATCATGAGTATGTATGAGTGTGGGTGGGTATGTGTGCATTGTGCATGTGAGTGTACACACGTGTGTGTGCCTATGAATACACATGGACTTGGGAGCACTGGGGGAGGTGGGGGAGGTGGTTATCACGGTGGATCATCGGCAATGCTGGATGACAAGAAGCATCTAGGCTCCCCGTTCCCTTCCACTCTCAGGAGGATGCTCTTCGTGGGTGGCTGAGGTCAGATAAACCAATCACACAGAGGAAATGTCTGTCCACCACACGGGTTTTCCATTCAGGAGGATGGGATGTGACATCCTGGTGGTTGGAAGGATGGGACGTGACGTCCCAGTAGTCAGAAAGGTGGGACATGACTGTCCCGGTGGTCAGAAGGGTGGGATGTGATGTCTTGAGGGTAGTGATGATTCAGAGCCTTTGAATTGGACTTTGACTTGGCATCAGTGTCTCAGGGCCCTGGGCCTGGGAGCTGCTCTCAGAAACGGAGGGATGCTCCTCCCAAGGGTCTTGTCCTTGTTCCTGACATTGGGGTGGCCAGGGAGCTTACTGGCCACAGCTCACGTGGTGGTAGGGTCAGTGAAGAAGACCAAGGCCAGGCTGCTGTAGGTGGTAGGCCTGCCAGGGCAGCAGGAAGCATCACAGGGACACAGCCCTCCACCTCCTGACAGCTTCTGTCTTTCTCTATGTCCATAGTATGTGATGGGTTGCTCCAGTTAGAAGTGCCTCTCTGCTCCCAGGAGCTGGCCTCCTTGATGTCAGAGTTTTCTCGTCATAAATCAAGGCCAGTGCACACTGGCCTGGCTGCTCTGAAGCCTCGATGACAATTTGCCTACCTTGTCATCTTACTGACGGCTGCCCTTGCCCACAGGTCTCCATCGCACCACGGACCAACGCGGCTCTGGGCTTCGCACAGATGCTGCCACGGGACCAGCATCTCTTCACCAAGGAGCAGCTGTTTGAGCGGATGTGCATGGCACTGGGTGGCCGCGCCTCCGAGGCCATCTCCTTCAACAGGGTGACTTCTGGTGAGGGGCTGCTGCCAGACCAAGTCCAGCCAGTCAGCACCACAGCACACAGGGCTTCCCCGGGTGACAGCACTTCCCCATCCTCGTCCTTGTGCTCAGAGTGGGGCCAGGGGTATGCCTGATGCAGACTTGGACATGTGACTCTGGAGTTTTGAATCTTAGTGAGTGTGATTAGAAGGGGCTGTGGTCTGCAAAGGCTGGCAGGAAGCAGGACTTTTTTCTACCTCCAAACAAAATGAAAGCTTTGTTGCACACATACACCATGAACACATTTCATCACTTAACTGCAGGCAAATGAAGCCTGAGCAGAATTCAGGTGGCCTCGCTGTTCTCAGGCCTCTGTTCATTGGGCACTGTGAAGTTGCTGGGTTCCTGGGACACTGGGGCTTGTCTTTCCCCTGGGGTTGGTGGCACCCTGCATCCACACTGACTCTGTGAGAGGGAGGTGACCCAAGACTAGGCGAGCATTTGCTTGAAGAGTGTTGGTAGGGTGTCACAGTTCTCTGAAAGAGTAGTGAGGAGGTGCAGGAACCTTGACACTGCGGTGGTTCTCCTGAGGGTCAGAATGAGGAGGCCTACGTGCGTTGGGCTGTGGTACGCGCTCACAAAGCTCTGTGTCCCACACTGTAGGGGCACAGGATGACCTGCAGAAGGTCACCCGGATTGCTTACTCCATGGTGAAACAGTTTGGGATGGCGCCCAGCATTGGCCCTGTCTCCTTCCCTGATCCCCAGGAGACTCCAACTGGGATTGGCCGGCGCCCTTTCAGCCAGGGCCTCCAGGACCTGATGGATCACGTGAGTGCCTGGCTCACTGCACCCCCAGGGTACTCATTAGGGTCACACAGGCCATGTGCTGTTGTCTGTGTACCCTTTGCTGCACACCTGTACTTCTCCTTCATAGGAAGCAAAGCTGCTGGTGGCTAAGGCCTACAGGCACACGGAGCAGGTACTGCGAGACAACATGGACAAGCTGCAGGCGGTGAGGACTGGGGGCAGGGGGATGCTGCCCCAGAGTCAGAGTGGAAGAGGGCACCCTCACTGGCCCAGTCACTGCTCGGTCCCCCGGGAGTGAGGATGGGAGGGGGACGCCATCCCCCCATTCTCTCTTTCACTCTCTTCACACACACACACAGACACACACTTTGGTTGGTTGAAGGAAGTGAAGAGCCAAGACTAAACAGGGAGTGGGACGGGCAGTGGGGACTGTTGAGGCGAGGGGCTGGGATCAGTTCTCTTCTGCCCCAAGGCCTTCCTGCACACACACACCCTTTCAGCCCATTCTCACACCTGGGAAGCCAAGAGGGGCTTCAGTGTGTGGACACTGGTGACAAATGCTCTGCTCTCCAAGGCCCTTGTCTGCTCTGTCCCAAGAACTCACTTGGCTGCCTTGTCCCCCCAGCTGGCCAACGCATTGCTGGAAAAGGAAGTGATCAACTACGAGGACATTGAGGCCCTCATCGGCCCACCTCCCCATGGGCCCAAGAAGATGATCCTGCCCCAGAGGTGGGTTGACGCAGAGCAAGAAAAGCAGGACTCAGACGAAGAGGCTGCACAGCAGCCCCCACTCAGGAGAGAGGAGACCTCCTAGCCCAAGCGGTCGCAGGACAAGCTCCGCATGTCCTCCTGCACTGCAGAGCCGGCTTCCCGAGCCTGTCCCATCAGCCCTCCATGTCTGCGGAGGGTTGGGAGGCCCAGGCTCCACGTCCCTGTGCAGTCAGTAAACTTGGCAGGGATGAACGTTCACTTCTGCATTTGTGTGTCATTTCCTGGGGGAGGGTTTTGGTGCGTGTGACAAGCACAGTGGAGTATAGTTCTGGAGCGCCTGGAGTTCACAAACATTCTTGCTTTCTATATAATGTGCTGAGCCCAGGCCAGAGTGGCCAGATGTCTGACCCGTCCTCAGCTGATGCCCTAGCCCCATGACATCACAGGACACTGGTGGCACCATGGTGAAGGGCCTAGGAGTCGGAGATGGAAATTCCTGCTTCAGAGCATTAACATACTGCCATCCACTGCTGATCACTGGGTGCAGGTTGAGCTAGTGCTTTTTTATTGTGATCTGGGTGAAGTTTACAGAGCAAATTCATTGTCCACACAGTAGTTCATAGACATTTTGTTTCATGATACGGACTACAATTCCCTACAGTGTAACAGCTCTTCCCGCTTCCTCCCTGCAGTTACTTCTTCCCTTTGTGCTTCCCTCCCATGCACTCTCCTCCCCCAGCTATCTTCCTGTGCAAATACTGCCCTTTTGTTCTCCCACAATCACTCTAAAGAGTTTATCTACCTGATGTGAGTATTCACCCCTTATGCCTGTCTATTGTTTGGCTGGAAACCACAGGAGTGAGTTCTGTTCCAGACCTGAAGGGTGACTAGGGGCCATAGTCTCAGGGGTTTTACCAGGATCTACCAGACCAACAAAGCTAGCTCTCCTGAATTCAAGCTGTGTGGCGACTCCAGAGAACGGCTGTGATGCTGGACTTAAGATATTCTACAGATGGAGAGACTGCCTCTGCCACGTGGCCAACTCCAAGCCATCCCCCACATAATGAGCTATGTCCAACACACAACACTCCCCTCCACAGGGGCCTGTGTACAACACTCCTCCTTCATAGAGCCCATATACAGCAAGACCCCTCACAGGGACCTATGTACAACACAGATACACAAACGACCCGTGTGTAACACACAATACCCCGTGGGGGCCTGTGTATGCTCTCCCATCCCCTCCTCAGGGACTTATGTACAACACTCTCACACACAGGGACCAATGTACACACCCTTCCACTCCTCCACACCATTGCCCAGGAAGTTCCTGACCCTCCTTGGTTGAGCACTGCATTCAAGGCCATCAACTAGCCCTGCCAGTGGCTTCGTAGGCTCAAACCTGGACGAAAGCCCTGAGACACAGTGACGTTTACAGAGCCTGTGTGAAAGGGGACAAGAACTGTACTTGTCACTAGAGATGTTTAAAACCCCTGAACCAGCCAAGTCTGTATCAGAATGACGTAACTGCTCACTTCTTGAACCCCCTCTGGGAAAGGTGGGCACATGGAAAGCACAACTTCCTACCAGATCTTTCCTGACTCCGTTTTGCTATTTCTCAGAGGGAATGTGGAGCAGTCAGGCATGGAAAAAATGGACCCTGTGTCCATCTGGGTTGTGCGCAGCAGGCCAGGTCCTCAGATTCCAGCTGGCTTCCAAGCAGGGTGCAGCCTGCTCAGCCCACCGGTGCCCAGAAACTCCTACTGAAGAGCACCTGGAGTTTGAGTGGAGCAGCAGGTCTATCAGAGCTTCCTGGTTGTGAAAGGGGTCTGGGAGAGAGCAAAGTGGGGCAGGCATGTTGACGGGTTCCGTTCAAAGACATCCGTCCCAGGCCAAGGCAAGCATTGATCCTACAAATATTTGCCCAAGTTAGTGTGTACTATATGTGCTGCCAGGAGCTCTGGTAGCATAGTGCTTAAGGCACTTGACTGCTAACCAGAAGTCTGGTGGTTCAAACCCACCAGCCACTCCTCGGAAGGAAATGGGGCAATCTACTTCCATAGTGATAACTGCCTCGGAAACCCAAAGAGGGGTCGCTATGAGTCGGGTTCAACTTGACGGCACATAACAGCTCGGTGCCTTCATCTGACCAATTGTTGCAGCTATCACGTTTTCTTTGCTCTTTGTACATGCTCCATTTTCCTGATCTTAAGCATGTTATTCATCAGTGAATCCCAACCTTATTTTTCTAACAATCACAGGTGTCTCAAAACAGAAAACCTTATCAACAACTTATTAATTCAGAACACAGGTCTCCAAATATGCCACTGGGTATCACAACATTCTTAAAAGAAACTGCCAATGGAGGTTTATAAGGAAGATGCCTGTGAGTGGGGGGCGGGTGGGAAGGAGGTTACTGATGTAAAGGTTTACAGATAGCAATAGGGTGACGGCTTGTCCTCCAGGACAGACGAACAGAGTATGTTGACTGGAAACAGGTGTGTTACGACTGACCACTTTTTTTTTTTTCCATGATGTGTGTCTCTGTAAAAGGAGGCAGCTTGCACAGTAGACAAGTGTGGCCTGTAAAATCACTCATATTTTTATCTTAATTCTACTAGCTGCCTGGCTTCAGAGAAGTTACTTAATCCCTCTGCCAAGTTCTCTCATTTGGAAGGAGGCCCAATGGCCAACAGTAGACCTCACTCCATTAGGTGGCTGTGAGGATAAAATACGAAGATGCATGTAAAGTATGTCACATCTAACCTATAATAATTACCCAGCAAGTGTTGACTTTAAAAAAGGAGCTTAATGTTCCAAATGGATGGGACGAAGAATAGACTGTAACGAGTATTTACAATTCCTTATAGCATGCCTAGGAGCTCTGGTAGCGTAGTGCCTAAGGTACTTGACTGCTAACCAGAAGGCTGGCGGTTCAAACCCACCAGCCACTCCTCGGAAGGAAGGTTGGGCAATGTACTTCCGTAGTGATACTGCCTCGGAAACCCAAGGAGAGGTCGCTATGAGTTGGGTCCGACTTGACGGCACATAACAACAACAACATAGCATGACTGCCTTTGCTTCTCTCAACCACCATGTCCCATAAACACGCACAAACAATAAAAGTTCCAGAACCCTGACAACGAGTTCCCTGCCTTCAAATCGCCACTGTTTCCCTTCAGCCCCTACGAGGGCTGCAGCGCCCGTTTTGTTCCGCACACAGGCGGGCAGCGGCACGAATTCGCAGGTACACAACGCAACGTTAATTGCCTGAAATACCATAGAGCGTTTCGGTAGCTACAAAGAACAAAATGACGACAGAACCTGAGCAAGTTGACTCAGCAAACAGCCACGCTCCCGGGCTTTCTCGGCTGTACGTTCGAGGAGCGACCTCGAGCCCCGGCTACTAGCGCAGGCGCCATGATTCTAGGAGTTACTGTCGCAAGCTGACGTCACTTCCGTCGCTCTTGGCTGTGACTTGAAACCTCTGGCCCTTCTGATAGGCCGGGCCCACAACATCCCAGGGTGCTTTTCGTAGCTACTTTCTTTCCGATCGGCCGTTCTGCCTGGAGGAGGTAGGTTGACTGCAGTGCGTCGTTATCGAGCACCATCGGGTTTCATCCGCTGTGGTCCGTGCAGGGCTGCTACCTCCGCGGCCATGAAAAACCCAATCAGGGTTTTCTCTCTGCCGCAGAAGGCGTTGGGCCGCGGTCTGGGCTCCAGAGGCGCGGCCGTGCGACCCGGGGTGGAGACCCCGGTCGGGACCTTCAGTCGCGGCGGGCAGGGCGGCCGGCTGGTGGGTAACGGCGCCCGGTTCGTCTGGAGCCCGGCCCTGACCCGGCGCCCTTTTTTGCGAGCCCAGGGCCGTAGGCAGCCATGGCGCCCAGCCGGAATGGCATGATCCTGAAGCCGCACTTCCACAAGGATTGGCAGCGGCGTGTGGCCACGTGGTTCAACCAGCCGGCGCGGAAGATCCGCAGGTGAGGGTCCCTGTGTCCGGCGCGCGAGCATGCGGGGCGCACGGTCACATGATGACGTTCTCCGGCATCGCTGTACTGCTTTGATGAGAGCTGTTTGAAGCCTTTCCCTGACGACCGTGGGCTCTTGAGGGTCCTGCTTAGACTCCTGGAGCTTTGGAGTGAAGGTAGCAGTCCGTTGTAGTCGTGTGGTCGAGGACAGGATTTGGGAACACTCCGCTGGGGGGAAGCAGGCTCCGGGGAGGCTCCTCCGAGGGAAGGGTGACTGCTGCCTGACTTGTCTGCCACCAGACGCAAGGCCCGCCAGGCGAAGGCCCGCCGCATCGCCCCGCGCCCCGCATCCGGACCCATCCGGCCCATCGTGCGCTGCCCTACAGTGCGGTATCACACCAAGGTCCGAGCTGGCAGGGGCTTCAGCTTGGAGGAGCTGCGGGTGAGTGTCCCCACGACTGTGTTGTCTAAAAGTTGCCTGTGCCAGTCACGTGATGACACTCTCCGGAATCGCTGTATTGCCTTGATGAGAGCTCCTGTGAACCCTTTCATGTCTGACGACTGAGCACTGTCTTGTGGGCCTGGAGATCGGAGGGCACACAGAGCTTCACTTCTTCCCTTTCTGGCCCAGGTGGCTGGCATCCACAAGAAGGTGGCTCGGACCATTGGGATCTCCGTGGATCCACGGAGGCGGAACAAGTCCACCGAGTCCCTGCAGGCCAACGTGCAGCGGCTCAAGGAGTACCGCTCCAAGCTCATCCTCTTCCCCCGCAAGCCCTCCGCCCCCAAGAAGGGAGACAGCTCTGTGAGTACACCACTGGGATTGGGGATGTAGCCGGAAGTGTTCTTGGGGGGCCTTGCCCCGGCTTATAGAGAGGTTCTACTCAGGTTCCAAGATGTCTGACTTTTGTGTGGTCGAGTGATTTATTTTTTCATTATCCAAACCTTGGCCGTGTAACATGGGGATCCATCGAGACCTGACCAACAGGAGAAGTTGGTGGCAGAATTTGCACATAGAACTGCCTGGACCCGTTGCTCTTCCCACTGATTGTTTCCCATGTGTCATCACACAAGAGCTATTTGCCTCAGAGCTTGCCGACAGAAGCTCTGTTACGTTTAAATGCTTTCTGGGCAGAGCCCAGTCTCTGCCCAGAGTAGGGTTGACAACATCCACCATTCCGTGTCGGTAGCCTCTGGCATTTCCAGGCCATTGGGTTGGGGAATGGCTTTGCACTTAAGTAGATGGCTTAGCACTTATTTCACACCAGTTCACACATCCAGCTGCTGGCTGGCATGGGGAGATGAGTGTACTTTCTCTGTATCTGAGGGTAAAAGGGATGTCATCGGTCACACCTGGGGCCTCTGAGAGCTGTGGTCCCTCCTGTGCTCACAGCACTGGATCTCTCCAGGAGACCAGGCCCCAGAGTCTTTTTTGTCTTTCCTAAACAGGCCGAGGAACTCAAACTGGCCACTCAGTTGACCGGACCGGTGATGCCCATACGGAACGTAAGTGAACGGGTTGGTTTGCAGCTTCTGATGCTGCTTGTGTGTCATCTGATTTTCCAGAGAGGCAGGTAGCTGTTGACTTTGACTGGGGCTTTGTTTGTGTTTAAGGGGTTAAGTGGTACCTGGGGCAAAGATAGAATCTGAGAAGCAGGAAGTCCCTTCAGCCCTGGGAAAAGCATTTCTGAAACGCAAATGGAACACTCCATGGGGGGGGACTTTGTCCTCCCTTTCAGAAAGTTTTGGGTCCTTCTAAGGAAGGTTGGGCAATCCTACTTCCGTAGTGATACTGCCTCGGAAACCCAAGGAGGGGTCGCTATGAGTCAGGGCTGACTCGAAGGCACATAACAACAACAACAAGTTGTTATTCAAGCTGCTGGTACTTTTCTCCTCTGTGCTGTTTGGGAACTCCTGCCATAGGTGGCCTGTGGTTTCCTTGGTAGAGCTGGCCGGCCTGCCGGAACCTCCCTTGTGTGGGTCTGGCTGTGTCTACAGTGTTGCCTCCATGCATGGCACCCTTCATAGATCCAGGATCGGTCCTTTAGTTTGTGCTCTGGGCTTTATTTTCTGTTTTTAATTCTCTTTTCATGGGGAAGCTCTTAGGTCCTGAGGAGAATCTCCGCTCTTTTTTAGCAGTCTCCTGGCATCCCTCACTGGGCCACTGGCCTGTGACTGGCTTGGTCCTCACTTAGTGCTTCTCTCTCCTGGCATCCCTCACTGGGCTGTGACTGGCTTGGTCCTCACTTAGTCGTTGGGTCAGGACAGCTTGGCTCATGGCTTCAACCCCATCCTGCCTCACAGGTCTTTAAGAAGGAGAAAGCCCGAGTCATCACCCAGGAAGAGAAAGACTTCAAGGCGTTTGCCAGTCTCCGCATGGCTCGTGCCAATGCCCGGCTCTTCGGGATCCGTGCAAAGAGGGCCAAGGAGGCTGCAGAGCAAGACGTGGAGAAGAAAAAGTAAATGCTGTCATCGGGGACTTTCAATAAAACGTTACTGAAGCCCTTTCTTGGGTGATGGTGTCAGTGCAGTGGGAGTGTGGCCAGGTGGCTGCCGTGGTCCTCCTGATGGCACTGCACCCCGTGGGGCCAGGCTGGGCAGAAGATGAAGGGCTTCCATGTGGCCTGGAGACATGAGAGATGACAGTTTGTTTTGTGTAGGGTTGCTTTTTTTAACCAGAGTGATTTCCAGTCTGTTTGGCGTCTAAGATTTTGGGGTAAAAGCCAGGAGACCGTGACTCCCTGTGTGCCTGTCCGTGCTCTTGCCCAGACCTCAGGGCCCACCACTGCCCACCCCCAAGAAAGCCTGGGACTTCTGGGGCTGACTGCTTGGTTAGCCAGCCTGTGTCCCTAGTGGAATTGCCCCATCTGTAAGATACTTGGATACAGTCTGTCCCTCTTCCTCAGTCTCTAGAGTGACCACTGATCCTAGGAAAGCATGCAGGGAACCATGAATGTGTGAACTTGATGGTTGAAGGTCACTGCCTTAAGTCCCATGTGCCCAGCCTGTTGACTACACTGCTGCCCCCTGATTGCTCACACCCTTTCACTCATTTTGAAGCAAATTCCAAATGTCCTTTGAGTCAGAATTGCCTTAAAGGGGACTGTTAACTCTGCACATAGTCTAGGCTTTGTTCTCAGGACTCTGGGCAGCACTTCCCAAACCTGAGTGAAGCCTGGTGGTGCCATTTCTCATTTCCTTCCACGGTTCCCACAAGCTCTAAAGAGCCATATTGGAACCAGGTTCTCTGGGGAACTGCCCTGAGAAGGTCAGACTTGAAGCAACAATTGAGAACTTGATACAAACTTGGGAGCTTGCCAGTGAGGGCAGTGGCCAGTTCTGGAATACAGCTTAAGCCTACTGACTAAGCAAGGTTGTATGGATCCACAGGCCAACTGGGGAGTCTGGGGTGCACACAGGGTGGACACTTACTTTCCCCAGGGAGCAGGGGGCTCTGGCCTCAGGTGTCCCTGGTCCAAGCAGTCTTGTACTCTGCATCAGTCTGATCTTGGTCCCATCCTACAGATGGGCAGGAGGGTGGTTCCTATAGGACAGCTGCCACCTGTCCTGGCCACAGACATGGGGAGTCTCACCCCATCCCCCAGCCTGTTTCCACATGAGATCACATGGTGCTGAGGACAGTCACATTGGTCTCTGTCCTTTTAAAACCATCCTTGGGTGTGGTTACTGTGGCCAGAAGTGCCGAAACTGGGTTACCATCAAAGGCCCAGAACAGAGGCACCGTTCAAGCTGGTCCACACATTTCAGACCAGGGCACCTTCAAAGGCCCTGTGGAGCCCACAGCATGCGTCAGTACAGGCATTTGGATCGCTCGCTGCTCCTCTCTGCTCTGGTCCATGCTGCAGTACCCCAGCTTCTATCCTGCCTCCTGGCACACCTGTGCACCCCCCTGTGTGCAGCCTGATCCTGGGGACCCCCTTCCAATAGAGTGCAGCACAGGAGACGGGCTTCTGAGATGAGGTGACAGAAACTGGCTTACGTACTGGGCATTGTGGGGGCGCCAGCTGAGTGTGGATGCATCCCTGTGGGGAGACCAGTAACAAAGCAACCAGGAGCAAAGCCTGGGTCCCCCCAAGTGGGCTGAACCGGCCCAGTGGCATGGACTGGCTGCTCCTGTGCTGAGTCAAGGACTGCCCTGGTGACAGCCTTAAGGGAGGGCCTGGGCTTGTGGCTGTTTTTTTTTTGTTTTGCTTGTGGGGGGAGGGGTGTCATGGACAGTTAAGTGTTAGCAGAGTGGGAATCAGGGTAGCCATAGCCACAGATGCTCCATGCAGCTCACACACCCCGTTTACAAAGTAATGAAAGAAGTTCTTGTTTCCAACAATGGGTATTTTCAGAATATTAAGTAAAACGGCCCAAACCAGTCGATGGTGAGAGTACAAGTGCGCTCCACGAGCTTTTTAACGGCTGCTGCTGCTTTTTCTTTTTTTTGGTCCAATTTTATTTTTTAATTGTGATTTGGGTGAAAGTTTACAGAGCAAATTCACTTTCCATGCAGCGTTCACACACACTTTGACTCATGACATGGACCACAATTTACCCCAATGCCACAGCTCCCCTCCCCCTTCCTCCCCATAGTTACCTCTTCCCTGTGTCCTTCCCTCTGTGCACTCCTGCCACCCGAGCTGTCTCCCCTGTGCACACACAGCCCTTCTTTCTCCCAGGACTGATCTCTCTGAGGAGCGTATCTACCTAATGTGAATGTTCAGCTCATATTTTGGCTGACAGTCAATGGCTGGTTTTTGAAAGCAGATCAGCAGGCCTTCTGAGGTGCCTCTAGTGGATGCAAACTTCCAGTCTCCTGATCAGCAGCCTGTTAACCTGTTAACCATTTGTACCACCCAGAGGCAGCTAATGTTACATAAATACTGGAAAAGCATCTTTAGAAACCTTGTTTTCTGATCATGGTGGTATGTGTCCCCAGTGCCACCCACAGCCCTTCCTCCTCCGGAATTTGATAGCAGTCCAGAAGCTCACAGTATCCCCGGGATGAGTGCTTGCCCAAAGAAATCAGGAGAGTTGAGAACAGGGAAGTTACCTTTTCCCCACCATTTTTGTAATGGAGTACAGTGTAATTTACATACAAATGAAATTGTTCATTTGGGTTCATTCCTACAGTTTTGACGAACACTTCCAACTGGGTAACCATCACTAGTTGGTCACAATACTTCAGTCAAGTGGAAGTGTCTTCACTTTGAACATGCTCAGAAGCAGAGATGCTAATTTGATGGACCCCTATCTACCTGTCACCCAAAACTTGGCCTGCAGAGAGTGGCTCTTGAATTCTCTTAGATGTGATGACAAACGTCAGGGACTGCAGCTGGGAATGGGCCCAGTGCGGATGGGAGCTGGGCCCTTGGAACTTGGGGAGCCAGCATCAGGCCAGAGGTGCTCATAGGCCCTTCTCACAGTGACCGAGATACAACAGAGGGAGGATGGGATGTAGGCCATGCAACGCTGACAACCTTGAGGGGCCTTGGTGGACAAAGAGGGTTGGGCACTGGGTCCGAGTGGGTTGGTGTCCAGGTGGGGTTCATTTCTCCTCTCACTGTGTGGACTCAGCTGGCCCTGCCAGCCCTGAGCCATAATCTCATTGGCACTGCAAAGAGGGTGCCCCCTGGCAGAACCGTGGAAGACATGGCATTCAGAGCAGCTGGACTCAGGTCAAATGGGGGAGAGCAGTGTGTCTCCGTGTGTTTGTATGTGCACGTGTCTCTATGCATACATGTGTGTCTGTGTGCTGCCTGTACACATGCATATGTGCATGTATCTCTTCATGTGTGTACGTGTGTGTGTGCATGTGCACGTGTGTGAGTTGAGCGTGCTCTGCTCAGGGCTGATTGTGGTGGCAGGGCAACGTTCCTGTCCTCTGAGTCTGCTCACACCAGATGGTCCCATCCATCTTGCCGTTAACCCAGGAGGTGGGTCAGGGGCCCCACACCCGCCTGCCACAGACCTGGCATCTTCTGCATCGCCTGAGGCCCCACCTGGTTTCTACAATGAGAGAAATGTCAGATCCTGCAGGAAACTTATCCGACCCAGACAGGTTGCAGCTGTTCAGAGATATAAGCATTTATTCAGGAGGAAGGCAGGTTTGCAAGCAGGTTATAAAAAGCAGCAGCCAGCTAGCTGTGTGTGTGCGTGTGTGCGTGCGTGTGTGTGTGTGTGTGTGTACTGCTTGTAAGAGTCCATTAATGAGCCCTCCCAATTGCAAAGCTGTCTCTCAGGACGCCGGGACATGAGGACAGTAGGCCATGAAAATTGCTACGTAGCCCCGCTCTGTCCTTTGCTCTGTCCTGCACCTTCCCATGGGCCTGTGGTACCAGGCATAGATGCCGAGTTCAGGCCCACGGGAGCGGTACAGGCAGGCACTCAGCCCCACCTCCCCTCATGGAGAGGGTGGGTCTGGGGAGACCACAGGACACGGCTCAAGGGTGCCGGGGGGATGTAGGTCCCCATGGTCAACTGTCCACTCCTTGCTGAGGATCAGGAGCATGTCTGTCAGAGGCGGGTGGTGCAGAGTCTCCCTCAGCTCCAGGCGGCCACGGCGAAGCCCGCATGGTGGAGGGAACCGCAGCGGGGAAAGCCAAGCTCCATCGTAGCAGAGTCTGTGCTGCTTGGGAAGGATCGCTAGTGACACAGTGGTTAAAGCACCCAGCTGCTAGCCAAAAAGTCAGTGGCTTCACTTCACCAGCCACTTCAAGGAAGAAAGATGAGGTAGTCTGCTTTCGCAAAGATATACGGCCTTGGAAACTCTATGCGCAGTTCTACTCGGTCTGCTGGCATAGTGGGTAATTTGCTTGCTAACCAGAAGGTCAGTGATTCAAGCCCCCTAGCTTCCCCGGTGGAAGATGAGGCAATTTACTTTTGTAAAGATGCTATGAGTTGGAATCCACTCAATGGCAGTGGTGGGCTTCCTCTGTCTTACAGGGTCACTATGGATCAGAACAGATTCGATGGCAGTGGGTTTGAGGTTTTCGTTGGTTGGCAGTGCCTTAGCAGAGTCCAGAGGTGACTAGGGTATGCCAGGTATGACACACGCTCTGAGCGCCACTTGAGGGGATGCCACTCAGCAGCTTTGGTCCACCATCATGTTTCCATCACCAGCTACGAGAGCCCATTCAGCAAGTTAACACTCATGGCTGTAGGTGCTATTTTCTGTGGCTATGCTTCTGGCAGGGCCGCAGCCTGAGTACCAAGGACAGACAGCCAAACTGTGGGACTCCATTGTGGACAGAGGTGCCAGGAGGCCTGTCCCCTTGGGCTCCCAGCCCCCTGTGTTTTCCTGCTGGGCCAGAAGCAGGAAATGAGATTTTTTTCCCTTTGAATATCTGGTGGTGGTTGTTGTGCGGGGAATAACAACACATGTTCATTGTTGAAAGATGAGGAAATGCAGATAAGCCAGTGAAAATAACAACCCAACACCCAGACGTGGGCACCATTAGTGCTTTGATGTCTATCCTGCCACCTTTTTTCCTCAAATACGTTTTTATTAATAAAAGAAGCTGCTTGAGACTCTCACAGCCCTTATCACGACTGGCTTTTTCCTGGCTGTCATCTGTATGTATCACTGGACTGCCAGCTCAGGACAGGCCGTCTGTCCCTGGTTGAGGCCCCATGCCTCAGGCTGAGCCTGACACATGGTAGGTGGTCAGGACATGTGTGCTGTTTCTGTTTGGTAACGTGTTGTTGTTGTTTTTTTTTTAATTTTTTATGAACAATATTTTATGGTCGGTTGTGGAGTGAAGAATTGGCTTTACTCATGGAATTTGGCCTCTGTCCCTGGTTTCTCTAAATCCTTGGAATTTCTGAGAGATTGATGGGTCTTTGTTGCTCAGTCCATCATAGTGTGTTTAATTAGCCTATGATTGGCTAAGGAGTCCTGCTGGTGCAGAAGTTCTGATGTACTAATCACTCATTGGGAGAAAGATGAGGCAGTCAGCTTCCATAAAGACTGATAGCCTTACAAACACTCTTGTTGTTGTTGTTGTTATGTGCCGTCGAGTCGGCCCCGACTCATAGCGACCCCTCCTTGGGTTTCCGAGGCAGTATCACTACGGAAGTAGGATTGCCCAACCTTCCTTCCGAGGAGTGGCTGGTGGGTTTGAACCGCCAGCCGTCTGGTTAGCAGGCAAGTGTCTTAGCCACTATGCTACAAACACTCTAGGGCAGTTCTACTCTGTCCTCTAGGGGCGCTGTGAGTCAGAATAGACTCCACGGCAGTGGGTGTGGTTTGGGCTTTGTTTCCATAAAGATGACAGCCTTGGAAACACTATGGGGCATTTCCACTCTGTCCTACAGAGATGCTATGAGTCAGAGTCAACTCGACAGCATTGGGTTGGGTTTTTTGCTTTATGATTGGCTAAGGTGCTTCCAGGAGCTCTGGTGTCTAAGGCATTTGACCGCTAACTAGAAGGCTGGAGGTTCAAACCCAACAGCCACTCCTCAGAAGGAAGACTGAGCAATCTACTTCCATAGAAGGAGGGGTCTCTGTGAGTCAGATCCGACTCGACAGTGGTGAGTTTGGTTAATTTTTCAGAAGGTGCTTCCAGCTTGTCAATTTTCTGAGCCACAAGGAGGCATCTTGACCAGGTGTGTCCTGAAGCTTCTCTGTGTCCAGGACATGTTGACTTGCCCTCAGGCCACTGCACCTTTGCAAGGGCTCTGTGCTTTCCAGTGGCCAACTATTCATGCTTCAAAACCCGTCACCCACTCTGTGCTCCTTGTCCCTCCCCCCATCAAGATACTGATTCCTCAGCCCAAAGTATGAGGGCCCTTGGCCTTTTCAGCCATTGAACTGAGAGTCCATTGAGGTCAGAGCTCCATGAGTAAATGAGTGAATGAACGAGTGAGTGAATCAGTATGAAGGAATGAGTGGGTGGGTGAAGGAATGAATCAGTGAGTGATGGAGAAGGGGACCCTGGGGCTCTTCTCCGGCCCCTGCTGGCCTGCCTCCGTGGTGTTCTTTACCCTGGGCATCTTTGCAGAGTGGCTGACCTGAGACTGGGCTGTGCTTGACCTGAGATCCTGACTCTGTCAGATAGCTGTGTCCCCAAGAGTCTGACCTCCCCTCTCCAAGTCTGAGTTTCCTCCTCTATAAAATGGGGCTGGGGCTCTGAATTAGATTAAAAGAGTTGTGGATTCTTTGTCCTGCTCCCTAGAGAGGGGAAGTCGGTCCTCTGCCTTGGGTCTGGGCAGCCTTAGTGACTCACTCGACCCACAGAAGGCAGCCGACGTCCCCTGGGACACCAACAGCACGTCCTCAGAACCCTTGCAGTTCCGGCCTGGGGTTCTTGGAACATGCTCCCTTGGAGACACTTGACTGATGGCAGCAGGGACCACACGGGCAGGCTTAATTCTTTGAAGGGAGGGAGAGCCCAGCTGACGTGAGCCAGCCCTTTCCCCGCCCAGGACAAAGCACACTGGTCACCCCCGTCCACACCATGAGGAGTGGAGGAGCTACCCAGCTGAGCCTGGTCAAAGCCTTGGCACACAAAGTCCTAAGAGACAACAAAATGGCTTTGATTCAAACTAGCACGCTTTAGGGTTGTCTGTTTCGCTGCAGGGAGAATCAGACCCTCCTCCCAGCCTTCCTTGTGGGTTGTGGAGCTGGGGGAGATGCGCTGGCAAGGACTTTGTGTGTCTGTTGACAGCAGTGAGAGGGTGGAAACGCAGCCCTTTGGGACTCCTCCCCTCGGGTCCCAGCACCCCCGAGCCCCCCAGGACACCGTCTCTGTTGGCTAGGGTGCTCCCATCCCCCATGTCCTCAAAGTGTCTTTAAGGTCAGCTTCAAGCAAAGACCCCATGGCAGACCCCGCCCCCGCCTGCTGCCTCGAGGGTGGCTTCTCATGGGCACATGTGTCAGAACATTTTGAAGATGGGGGCAGGGACGGCGTGATACAGCCGCAAGCCGAAGGAACAGCAGAAGCCAGGAGAGAGGCTTCCAGAGGGAGCCGACTCTGTCCACCCCTTGCTTGTGGTCTTCCAGCCCCTGGAACTGTGAGGAAGTCCTTCTGTTGCTTGAAGCTCCCCATGTACAGTCATTTCTCACTGTAGCCACGGGAAACGGGTCTAGCGGGTTACACCTTGTGAATGCCTGTGTGCTCGTCCGTATAATGGGCTGCCGTGAGGAGTGAGTCAGTACAACCCAGCAGTTAGTGTGGGGAGCATGGGCCCCAGAAAAGAACAGTAAATGCCAGGAGCCTTCATCAGTGGCACTGAGACAAGTCCGCGTGCCATCTAGCTATGAGGCTGGGCTTGGGGACATCATCTTCTGGGGGGAACAGTACCTGAGGACTCTGGTGGAAAGACCCTGAACTCGGCCTCACTAGGGACTGCCCCCACCTGCCCCCTTGAAGGGGTTTTTCATGATTGTCCCAGGGAATTCAGCCAGGCCGAGGGACCTCACCCAGGTGCAGGTGGGCAGATGCCATGGGGGAGCTGGCCCTGGAAGTTCCTGAGCTTGGCAAACCCCACAGCCTCCCCCAGGCCATGGTGTGGTTAATGGGCCGAGGAAGTGGACTCCTGTTTGGCTGGGAGCTGGGCTGGGGAAGGAGGCCGACCTGAGAGGCCCCCCAAGCAACTCCAGGCTAGTTTCAGGAGTGAGATATGGCCCTCTGTCAGTTGCTTTCTGAAGTTTTCCAGGCCCGGGTCAACTTCTTTGAGGTGTTAGGGGAGGAAGGAAAGGTGGGGCCCTCGTCTCTCAGAGTGACCTGCCCCCAGCCTCTTCAGCCGCAGCACAGGAAGATAGAGTGGTCCTACAGTGTGACTCCCTCGGCCAGACTGCTAGGCCTTTCCTTCCCTGCAAACAGAGTCTACAAGACCAACTACAAAGCAGGCTGACCGGAGCTTTGCCTTCCAGACCTGCTACGGTGCAATCCGATAGGCTGACCACCAGGGGCGCTGTCTGCACAGTCGCATCCATGGGGGCCCCTCCTAGCTGCGCTGTTCAGTGATTCAATTGGGCCTTCACCTGTTTATTCAATAAAGTTTTATTGAACCGCTTACAATGTGCTGAGGACTAGGACAACCAGAACTCATATGATGGGGTTCTGTCCTTGTTAGCTTAAGCTCTACAGTGAGGAGTGAGATGGGGTCCAAGAACTGTTGCAAAGAGTGGTCTTGCTGGGCAGACCAATGTGGTGGGGATGCAGGACCACCCAGGAGGGCAAGGGGAGCAGGTAAACCCACTGGGCCTTCCAGCATGAGACCTTGGTTCAGTCCTAATTGGGGGGCACCAAAAGTACATGGGACCTGGAACTACAGTCAGATCTCCACTTGGGACCAGAAGAAGGAGCTGGGCTGAGTGGGCCCACACTCTGAAGGACACTTTCCAGCGGCCGCTCAGACCTGGGATCTTTTCCTGTGGAGTCTGGGTGGCTGAGGCTGAGCCCTGGGCAACCTGAGGGTACATGTCTTAGCACACCTGCGGCCTAGCCTTCCCTCCCTTCCCATCTCCGTCACCTTAGGCTGAAGCCCCTCTTGCCGGCCCCCAGGACTTCTGTCCAGGTCTGCATCCTATTTTTAAGCAGAAACCAGCAAAGGAAATGGACTGAGAGGTAGTTTCCTGTCTCCGCCAACACCTGCTCTTAGTGCTGCTTCGAATGTCAGGACCCTGGGTCCCGACCCAGTAAAGCTCAGGGTGCAGTGACAGGCCGGGGGTGGACAGTGTCCCTGCCAGACCTGGTGCTGTCACCCTGTCTGGTGAGGTCACACTCAGACCCTCAGCCCAGACACCACCAGGCAACAAGGGTCTACCCCCCGCCCCCAGACTCCAAGCTCTGTGAAAGTGAGGACCCCTGTCCTGGCCCCAGACCCCCTGCAGCATGTACCCAGCATACAGGAGGTGCCCATTAATGCTTGTTGACTGAGATGGCACATCACTGAACCCGCCAGGGCTCAGAGGTGAGGTCCAAGAGACCCTGAGAAGGGCACCGGGATTTGGTGGGAAACTGGGCTCAGTGGTGGCTGGCATCCAATAGGGGCTGTGCAGGGAGGAACCCCACTCTCTGAGCTGGGGCAGCTCAGAGCCTGCATCGGAAGCCGACTCTGACCCCAAACCTCTAGACCTGGCTCCCTGGGGCCAGCACGTGACCATACTGGGGATTTGAACCCTGTTGACCATGGGGGCTCCCTACCTCCCCAGCTGCCCCCTCCCTGGCTACTCGCCTCTGCTACCCATCTCCAGCCTCCCACCTCGGCTCGGTCCCCGCGTCTGTCCCCCTCCCCATCCCCAGTCCCCGCGCGCGGCGGCCGCGGAGCCACGTGCGCCCGCGCCGGCGGGCGTGCCTGGAAGCGCGGCCACGCCTGGCCAGACCACCATTTCCCCGGCGCAGCGGCGCGGACCGGCGGGCAGCGGCCGCTTGAGCACCGAGGGCGGCTCCTAGTCACCCAGCGCCGGCCGGCCAGCATGAGCGTGCGCTCGGAACGCGGGGCGGCCGCGGCCCCCGGAGCGGTGCCTGCGCCCTGCGCCTCGAAGGTGGAGCTGCGGCTCAGCTGCCGGCACCTGCTGGACCGCGACCCGCTCACCAAGTCCGATCCCAGCGTGGTGATGCTGCTGCAGTCTCAGAGCCAGTGGGTGCAGGTAGGAGCTGGCAAGGGGCCCTCAGGGTGCTGAGCCGGGATGGGGCTCTGGAGCTGGGGGCTGCAGAGAGCAACGTGGAGAGCTCCGACCTCGGTGCCAGGCAGGCGTCTGAGGGTTGGGGTTGAGGTCAGGAGTGGGTCCCCGGGTTTGGAGAGTGAGTGCCTGGTGCTGTGGGTGGAGCGAAGGGCTGGACTGGATGGCCCCAAAGAGAGAGGGATGCCCCAAGTGCTGGTGCTGCCCAGGTGTGAGGCTCCGGGACCAGGGTGAAGCTCCTAGCAGTGAGGAGTGGGCGCAAGTGGATGGGGCACAGAGTTCAGGGGTGGGGTGGAGTGGGCACAGAGGCTGGGTGAGGGTCAGAACCTCTACTATCCACCAGAGGCAGACAGTGGAGCTCAGGTCCCCTAAGAGTCCTCGGAGTCAGTTCCCACAGTCCCCAGAGCAGGAGACTAGAGAAGGGCTTAGGGGCTGGGGTGACCTTCCTGGGGAGGGGTGACCGGGGGAGGGCTCCAGGAGCTGGAATCAATGTCCCAGCTGGAGGGCTCCCCACTCGCTTCCCCTCTTGGAGACGCCAATGGGGGTCTGGAGCACCCCAGGGTGACCTGGCTGGCACGCTCATCGGACCACAGCTGGAGACAGCAGGAACCCAGTGGTTGGAGCACCCCTTGGACCCAGCTCTGGGCTTGTGTGTCTCCATGACACCAGCTTCTGCCCTTCACACGCCGGGGTCCCTGCTCACTGCTCCATCACGGGCTGGTCTCTGCACGGCTGCTGCAGGAAGCATCTGAGGAGGGGGCTGGTCTCGGTGGCAGGCTGGGGTGCTCTGTGTCCTATCCAGTGCTTCCCTGGCCACCCCATCATGTGGAACGGGTCGCTTCATCTCCAAAGGCTGAGAAAGGCAAGGCGTCCCTGAGCTGCAGAGAGCGCGGTGGGGGAGGTGAACCAGGCTCCAGCGCTTCCACTGCCCCGTGGTGATACTGCACTGCTCCAATGTGCCCCCTGGCTACAGGTGGCAGCACGCGGCTAGCAGGGGCGGAGGGCATGCCGAGTGGGGAACCGAGACCAGGGGACAGAGGATCACTGGGGTGGTGACGATGTCAGGCAGAGGTTCGAGGCCGCGATGGCAGTGGGGTTCGGGTGGGAGATGCGATGGGGTGACAGAGGGACCCGGATGGAGTCCAGGAGAAGGGCAAGTTTGGCTGGAACGCTGCACTGCTGTCTGCTTCCCAGACCATTCTGGCCACCCACGGTGACCTGGTGGTGCCTGTCTCTGGGCCACCAGCTGGCCCAGGGGTCATCAGCCTTGGGAGTGAGCTAGCCAGGGCCTCAGCAAGGAGGCAGAGGTGCGGACCATTAGCACATGGCTGCCTGTGGGGGTTTCTTTGTGAAGCTCCCTTTTATCAGAAAGAGGCAGGGTCCTGTGGAAACCTCCCCAGTAGAACTGGAGGAGGGAGCTGTAGCCCCAGGGGCAGGGTGGGCCCTGCGAACACAGGAGTCCCCAGTGCTGGAGGGGCTCTGCCCACACCTCTCCTGTCCAGCTGGAGAAGAGCCCCTGGCTCGGGTGGGCCTGGGATGGAGCATGACTTGCGGTGCTATTGGACAGGACCCCTGCCTCCAGTCTCAGTTTCCCCATATGGAATGTGTGGAGCGGAAGCTGAAAAGATACAGAGAAGCTATAGCTCATCTGGTGGGGGAGGGGGACTTCCCTGCAGGGAGGGAGGTGCCCAGGGTCTTGGAGTGACAGTCCCCTACAGGGCAGGGCCAGGGCCAGGGGGGGCCGGGCCTTCTCCGGAGTGGTCTGAGTGAATACTCACGCTCAAGGGAGGGGAGCACAAGGGCTGAGCCGGGGGAGCCCTCCCTGGCCAGAGAGCTTATGGCCCACTGCTTGCAGGTGGACAGGACCGAGGTGGTCCGGAGCAGCCTGCATCCCGTGTTCTCCCGGGTGTTCACGCTCGACTACTATTTCGAGGAAGTGCAGAAGCTGCGCTTTGAGGTCTACGACACACATGGGCCTGGCGGCCTCAGCTGCCTGGAGGATGACTTCCTGGGAGGCACAGAGTGCACCTTGGGGCAGGTGGGCACCTGCCTCAGGTAGAGAGGGACCTGGGCTGGCCCAGAGAAGCTGGCGTGATGGCAGTGGTGACATGGGAGGGAGTTTATCAAGTGCCTGCTGTGTGTGGGACATCGTGAGAACCCTTGCTTTGAGCAACACCAGCCCCGTCCGCCTCCAGAATGCTTTGTCTTTAAAAACTCCTTGTCTTTAAAAACATACATAATTTTGAAGAGGATAATACATTCACACAGATCAGAATTTGAGAAACATAAAGGCATGTTGCCAGTTGTCACTGAACTGCCCCTGTCCTGACCATGTCCCAGTCATGTCACTCAAAGTCATTGTCATCAGGTCAATTCTGACTCATAATGACTCCCATGGGGTTTCCAAGGCTGTAAATTTTTTTGGAAGCAGACTGTCTCATCTTTCTTCCACAGAGCAACAGGTGGGTTTGAACCGCCAAACTTCTGGTTGGCAGCCAGAAGCCTTACCCACCATGCCACTGTGTGTCCTTCGATTCCCAAGATATTTATTCTACTAGAGTGCATGCATATGTCACTTTTCTGTGTCCAGAAATCATTCCTGTTGATCTGTGACCTGTTTTCTCACTTATGTAAGAAGCCCTTTCCCTCACTTAGCTCGGAACAATCTCCTGGCCTCAGCAGCTGCAGACTGGCCGTTCTAATCTTCATTTCCCTGGCTTCCGCCAGCCGGACAGTGGGTTTCCAGTCCCTTGCTAGTGTCCTCTTCCCGCCGTCACTGTAATTACAGCTTCTGCCAGCCACCAATTAGGGTGTCTTCATGTGCTGGGGGCTGTGCTAATCACTTAGCAGGCTGTCTTAATCCTCTAGCTTTCTAAGAGGTTTCACTCTTCCACTGAGATCTGGCTTACAGGCAGTGAAAGACATAGACCCCAAGACTGACGGGTGGAGACGAGTGAGGACGCTCTGTCATCCCCGGCTGGCATGGAGCCTTTCTGTCGCCCCCTGGACCCCGGGTCCTCCCCAGCAGCCTCGTCCTAGATTCTGGTTCTGTCCCCATGAATCACAGTATGTTCCCGTTTGCGTGGCCTCTTGTACCATCATAATGTCTGTGTGACTCACTCTGCTGCTGCCTGCCTCGAACTGGTTCACAGTGGGCCCTCCTGTCTCCCCATTTCACGGACTAGAGGACTGAGCCCTAGAAAACCTCCCTTCCATGAAAGCAGCAGAGCCCATGCCTGACCCATGCCCTTGTGAGCATGGAGGAGACAGCAGGGCTCAGAGTAATAGAGAAGGTCCGCCACCATTTCCTGCCTCAGTCCTTAGGAACCCCCAGCCTAGAGCCAGAGTGTGGGAAGCCAGTGGCCAGTGTGGCCGTGCTGGCCTGTCTGGTGTGCCATGCACTTTGTTGCAAAGTTATGGAGTCCTCCTTACAGCCCCCATTTCGCAGATGAGGAAAGGGTCTGGGATACTAAGCAAACCCCATCCACCTGACCACCACCCTGTAACCAGCTGGTGATGTTTGCTGCGTACAGCCGTGTCCCTGTCTTAGCTCACCCTAGTGGGGGAGGTAGCAAGCAGGAAGGGCAGCCCAGGCCAGGGATCAGGGTCCGGGCTTTGACACGCAGGAAGGGCTCCATAGCTGCCTCATGCCAGTCAGCAACCTTGCCACAGCCCTGAGGCTGCTTCCTTATCCAATAAACGGGTGTAATGAGGTCTGCTTCTTGGGGGCAATGGGGGTGTAATGAGGTCTGCTTCTTGGGGGCGATGGGTACCTCTGAGGTGGTGGAAGTGAGGGTGCTTAGAAGAGCCAGAGGGATGGTGGTGATTAAGTCTTGAGACCTGGGGAGCGGGCAGGTGGAGGGCATGGGCCTGGGTGGTATATTCATGGGAGGAAAGTGGGGACTTCCCAGAATGGCTCAGAGGATGGGCTGAGGGGTGGGCTGAGTCGGTCCCCCATCCTGTCCTCTGACTTTAGATTGTGGCTCAGAAGAAGGTGACCCGCCCTCTGATCCTCAAGTCGGGCAGGAGCGCCGGCAAGTCCACCATCACTGTGAGACCCACACCGCCTCCCCGTAGGCCCGTAGGCCCGTGGGCCCTGCCCCTCCCTGTCTTTATCTCCCTTATCCCCCAACCTGAGGAGCGTGAGGCCCTGCTTGGGGGTGGTCCCCCTCTCAGGCTGGGCTGCCGTCAGGGAGTGGGGCACGGGATTCCAAGGCCTTGATCTCACTTCGCTGCCCAAGCTGGGGGTCCCCATCAGTGGGCTCAGATGTGCCCTGCTCTGCCCAGGTGATAGCAGAGGACATCTCGAGCAATAACGGCTACGTGGAACTGTCCTTCTGTGCCAAGAAACTGGACGACAAGGTGAGCAGGGCTCAGGGCGGAAGTGTCCCCGGGGCTTGCTCTGGGGGCTCTGAGTGAGAGCAGACACTCCCCTGCTTTGGTCTCAAGTCAGTTTCTTCATCTGAGAATGGGCCCTGAACGGTGTTGGGAGGAGTGGATGACTTGGTGCCGATGAAGCGGTTGGAGTAGCGGGTAGGGCCCTCCAGGTATGCCCAGGCCGGCCGCTTGCCACAGTGGCTGCTGTTGTTACAGCAACAACCCTGTTTCTGCGCCATCTTCGTGCGGGGAGGGGCTGAGCCACATTTCCTGAGTTCTCTCCCTGGGATATAGGGACATTCACCATCCCCATTTAGTGATGGGAATAGGTTTGGGGCGGTCCTCGAAGCCGCTGTCTGGAAGAGAGGGTCTAGATTTGAACACAGTTCTGAATGCTCCTCACATGGGGCCATGCTCTGAGCAGGGGTCTGACCAGGGTAAGGCGTCAGGAAAGACCCCGCAGGACTAGGTGAGCGGAGATTTGAGGCGAGGACGGTGACCTGGGGGGGATGGCGTGGCCAGACCTGGGCAGGCCGTGGAGACTGGAGGAAGTGTGGAAATGCGGTGGAGGGGCTGGCATTCTCCCGAAGTCCTGGCGAGCCAAGGAAGGACCTAGAGGGGGAGCAGTAGAGCCTCCCAGCTGCTCGGCAGAGCTCAGGGAGGACTGGGCCACCTTACCTTCCATCTGAGGAAACCAAGGCGCTGGGGCGAGGGGGGTAGAGCCAGTCTGAGTCCCACACCCCTCTTCCCGCCTTGTGCACCCCACTACCTCCGGCAGGATCTGTTCAGCAAGTCGGACCCCTTCCTGGAACTGTATCGGCTCAATGATGATGAGAGTGAACAGCTGGTATACAGGACCGAGGTGAGGGGCCCAGCCAGCCTGGCCCCCCAGAGCCCCACGCAAAGGGCAGGCCCTTGAGCTGGGGTCCCCCGGGCTGCCTCAGGGTCAGAGAATGAGGTGGCAGGAGGGAGTCCTCCCAGTCATTCTCCTGTCCCTCCTGGCTGGGGCAGGAGACCCCTAGCCCTGCACCAGTGAGGCCTTTACCTCCAACAGCCACCGTCTCCTTTGCAGACACAGGTGCTTCTGTCACTAGATTCAACAGCATTTTGTTGTCACTGTTGTTATTTTTACCTTCTGCTTCCTGCAGGTGAAACGGGGTTTCATTCTCAGCACTGAGAAAGTCTTTCCTTTTGAGTTGAAAAGAGTCTATTTAAAGAAAAAAGGGGTCCAGGTGGCCCAGGAAAGTGGCAGAAGTTAGGGAGGGGGTTTCTAAAGGACAGAGGTCTGAGGACATGGATCTGGGACAAGGGGTCCTGTATGTGTGGCTCAGGGACACACCAGTATCTGGTCTCCCTGCCACTGCAGGCCCTGCCTGGGCCGCTCTGGGCTCCACGGGGTGCTTCCTGGGCCCCACTTGACCTCTCTTGGCCCCACAGGTGGTGAAGAACAACCTCAACCCCGTGTGGGAGCCCTTCAAGGTGTCACTGAGCTCCTTGTGCAGCTGTGAGGAGACACGGCGCCTGAAGGTGGGCTGGTGGGGACTGGGTGGGGGTTCGGTCTAGGGGACTGGACAGAGGGAGGTGGACCAGGAGCCAGTCACCCTCAGACCACACTCAGACTTGGAGTTGGGGTTCTTGAGGAGGAGATGGATCAGTTGGGTAAGGGGACACCATCAAGCAGTGTGGTATCCTCATTGCAGGCCGGGGTGGAAAGCCCAGGCTTGGGGTGGGAGGTCTGCATGGGTCCCAGAGTGGCAGGTAGACTGAGAGCCCGGGCTCTCCAGTGCCTTGTCTGGGATCATGACTCCCGAGGGAAGCATGACTTCATAGGAGAGTTCTCCACGACCTTCCAGGAGATGCAGGCTGCCTTCCCGGAGGGCCAGGTGAGCTACCACCCTCCTGCTTCCTTCCTCCTTCCCTCCCTCCCTCCCTCTTTCCCTCCCTCCCTTATTCCCTTCCTAACCTTGGTAAGCCTTCCTGTGCCTTGGTCCTTGGTCCTTGGAGGGGTATCTAGGGGAGGGCCAGGCATCTTGTGAAAGGCCTGGACTGCCTGGACCACTCAATTATTATTCTAATCCAGAGAGGAAAGATTAAGGATGATGACAATAAAAATGGCCACAGGGTGGCTGGGGTGTTGACTGCATGTGACAGCTGCAGAGAACCAGCAGGGACTGAAGCCCATCTCCTCCTCCCCAGGCCCAGTGGGACTGCGTGAACGCCAAGTACAGACAGAAGAAGCGTAACTACAAGAACTCGGGTGTGGTCATCTTGTCCCACCTGAAGGTGAGGTGGGCCTGGGAGAGCTGGCCCAAGTCCCGATCCCAGCTCCTTCCCCACCTGGGGGGCTCTCTGTCTGCACTAACAAGGGCTTGATTGTTGGTGGCCCCCATCCCCGAGATGTGCTGGTACTCAGTATGGAGAGGGGATCAAGGCGGAGGGGAAGGGGAGGGAGAGGAGAGAGATAGAGAAGACTTCAGAAGAGAAAGAGGGGGCAGACGGAGGGGAGTGGGGGACAACAGGACAGAAAAAGAGGGGCAGAGAGAGCCGGGGGAGAAGACCCAGAAGAGTCACAGAGAGAGGAGGCCTATGGAGATAAGGCGGAGGGGTGAGTCTCCACCAAGGCTGTGTGGGCAGGTCCCCGGTCGTCCTTGGTCCTCACTTTCCCCAGCTTGGGGGACTGGGGGTCCTCACTTTCCCCGGCTTGGGGGACTGGGGGACTGGGTGGGCCCTGCTGACGCAGCACGCCTGGAAGTTCCACAGGGTCTACTCCTTCCTGGACTATATCATGGGCGGTTGCCAGATCCACTTCACAGTGAGTCTGCCCTCCCCCTGCTGACGCTGGCCCCCACCTCCAGGCTGCCCCCTCATGCTAGCCCCCCACCTCCTCATTGGCCTCCAGCTATGCTACCCCTACCTCCATGGCACCCCCCATCTCCATGCAGGCCACCACCTCCAGGCTGCCTCTCACCTCCACACTTGTTCCCACCTCCATGCTGATCCTTGCTGGCCCCCTCATCCCCCACCTACCTCAGTGCTGGTCCCCCATCTCCATGCTGCCCTGAGGGGTCCTTCATGCCCTCACACTGACCTCCCTCCCCTGCGGAGTCAGGGGACCCAGGTCTGCTTCTCTGGGATACCCTGTGCCCTGCCCCCATCACGTGCTTGGAGTGAGAGGTGACTCAGTCAGACCCAAGTCCCAGCACCCCCAGGTGAGGCAGCATTTCCTGAACACGATGACATGTTGCGTGTCCTCTTGCCCTGTGCAGAGAGCCCTGCAGTCCCGGCCAGGAGCCACCATCCCTTGCAGGTCCTTTTGGTGGGTCCAGACAGGCCCCCGGTGGCCATCAGGGCTCAGGGTGATGACACCCTGGCAGGGTGACAAGCCATCCCAGAAATCCCAGGAGATTTGAGGTGGGAGGGGTCTAGGGTGTCCCTGGGCAGAGAGCCCTACAGAGACATAAGGAGAAACAGGGTCTCTAAGGAGGAGCCATGTGGCCCTGGGGCCCAGCTGGGCCATTCCTGGGAAGATGTTGGAGGACCCCGGACCACCCTCAGCTGCATCTCCCTCACTGAGCTGCCCCCGGCCTCAGCTCCCCCAACCTGTCACACGGGGGTAGTGGTCCCCACTGTTGGCTGGGATAGGCTGAGGAAACAGCAGATCAGCAACCTGACAGGGGTGGATGGGGGCCCTGCCCCAGCTGTGGGAGGCGTGCTCACAGCCGGCCTTGCAGGTGGCCATTGATTTCACCGCCTCCAATGGTGATCCCCGGAACAGCTGCTCCCTGCACTACATCAACCCCTACCAGCCCAACGAGTACCTTCGGGCCCTGGTGGCCGTGGGCGAGGTCTGCCAGGACTACGACAGGTGCCACCCCCCACCAGCCTGTCCCCTCCCTCCCTTCCCAGCCCTGCACCCACGGCCAGTATCTTCCCTGCTCCGGGCATCAGCTTCCCCTCTGTGCCTGGCCTGGGGCGGGGCTGAGTGTGGGCCACGGTGGTTACTGTAATTTGTGGGGCCTGAGAGGGGGACATAGAGCCCTGGTCCCTGTTTTCCTGCCCAGGTCTCCCCAAAGCTGCTCCCAGCCCCAACCCCCCCAGAGACAGGGCTCCTGGTGTGACCCACTTCTTTCTCTTCCAGTGACAAGAGGTTTTCTGCTTTGGGGTTTGGAGCCCGAATTCCCCCAAAATATGAGGTAAGAGAGCCTGAGGCCACTTTTGTCTGTGCCGGTCCCTGGGACCTCTGGCTGCTGTCACCCAGCTGTGTGAAGGAGTCTGGTCTTTGGACCAGGGAGGATTAAACTGCCTGAGACTTGCCGTCGAGGAGCAGGGAGCGTGGAGACAGGCTCTGATTCTGGCTCTGGTTCTGAGAGGAGGGTACGGAGTTAGTCTGGAGTCTTGTTGCAAACAGCTGCTCGGCTGGTTTATGGGAACCAGGAGGGGAGGGCGTTTATTGGCTAATGTGATGAAAAGGTTCAGGTACAGCTTTATCCAGGGATACTTCCGGTGTCTGTCTCTCCCGGGTCTTGGACCCCGCAAGCCCCAAATCTTCTCCAGCTTCGGGTGTGGTGCCAGAGTGTCCTGGCTCTGAGATAGGCAACAGAAGTTCCCGGACAGAATCCCGGTGGCCTCGGGTCCTAGGCCTGGAGTTGGGGGTTAAGATGCTTCCCTGTAGGAAACTTGGGGTGCTAGCCATGGGGGGGTAAGAAGAGAGCCAGGAAGCCAAGGAATGGAGAGACACTCTTGGCCCCCCGCCTGCTGGGTCAGGGTCTAGGACACTGGCCCTGGGGCACAGTGGGGGCCCTGCAGGCCTTGAGGGGCCTGGTGCTGGATGGTGGGGGAAGCTGGCCACCCCCTTGTCTCACAGGTGTCCCACGACTTTGCCATCAACTTCAATCCTGATGATGATGAGTGTGAAGGTAGGAGCCTGAAGGGGTGGGGCACTGGTGGGGTGCTGTAGGGCTGCGCTCACCTGCCCCCCCCACAGGGATCCAGGGGGTGGTGGAGTCCTACCAGAACTGCCTGCCCAAGGTGCAGCTCTACGGACCCACCAACGTGGCGCCCATTATCAGCAAGGTGGCTCGCACCGCGGCTGCCGAGGAGCGCACTGGGGAGGCCTCCGTAAGTGCTGGGGCCGGTGGGCGTGGGGAGGACAGGCGGGCTCAGGGGGCTGGGAGTCCCTGCTGCCCTAGGGGCTGTGCTGTGCCCTTGGCTCCTGCCCAGGAGACTTTGGGGTCGGCCTTTTCCCTCCCTCCCTTTCTCCTCCTCATGACCATGGGGGCTCCCCCCTCCCTCCCTCCCTCCCTTTCTCCATTCAGTAAGTGTTTATTAAGCACCTACTGGGTGCTGGTCATGGTTCTGCACGGCAGGAAAGAGCAGTGAACAAAACAAGTTGATTTCAAAGGCTGACCCTTGAGGAGGGGGAGACAGGGAGACAGGCACCAACAAGTGACCGGATAATCCGGTCCCTGAGGAGGCGGTGGGTGCCCTGGGGGACACAGGCAGGGCGGCTGGTGGGCTGTGTGGGAGGCAGGCATGGAGGTCAGCCAGAGGGGCCAGCACACACAAAGGTCCTGGGGCAGGAAGGGGGAGGTCTGTGTGGCTGGAACAGAGTGAGGGACAGGAAGAGGGAGAGGAGGCGAGGACCGGGGCTCTCTGCTTGTCAGCGGCTGGTGTCTTCCTTATTTGTTTTCAGTTACTGGGTGGCAGGAGCTCTGGTGCTGTGGTGGTAAGGCATTCAGCTGGTAACCAAACGGTTGGTGGTTCGAACTCACCAGCCCCTCTGTGAGAGAAAGATGAGGCAGTCTGCTTCCCTAATTACAGCCTGGGAACCGCACGGGACAGTTCTACTCTGCCCTCTAGGGGCGCTGTGAATCGTCCACTCATCCTCAGCAGGTTTGGGGTTTGGGTTTACACCAACTGGTGGCCCCGAGGTTCCGGCAAGGCACTGGCTTAACTGGTTTGCCTGTAGACTCTCCGTGCCCCCTGCCCTCCAGGAAGCCTCTGTCCATTGTTTGTTTGGATACACACTGCTATTTTCTTTATTTATGTTTTTAATTGCGATTTGGTGAAAGTTTACAGAGCAAATTAGTTTTCTATTCAAGAGTTCGTACACATTTTGTTTCGTGACGCTGATTGCAGTCCCCACAGTGTAACAGCTCTCCTCCCTCTTCCTCCCTGTGTTTCCTATTTGTCGCTCTGTCTGTCTTCCCTGTCCCTTCCTGCCTTCTGAGCGCCATCCTTGGCCAATGCTGCCCTTTTGTTTTCTGGTAGCAGGAGGTTCTGAGGAGCAGGTGTCTCCCTGGTGTTAGTGTTCACCTCAGTGCCCTGTCTGTTGCCTGGCAGAAAGCTGAGCCCAGGGTTCAGTTCTAGGCTTGGAGGGTCTCTACGGACTGTAGTCTCGGCGCTTCCTCCAGTCTCTGCACGCCCTGTTTGTATTTTTCACAAACAGCGTTGTGCTCGGGATACGTTCAGTTTTCTCGGCTCACGCAGCTCTGTGAGCCTCTCAGCTCTGCACCAACACGCGTCTGCTCTCCCTTACCTTTCTGTTTTGAGGAAAAGTCAGATTCATGGAACGTTTGTAAAAATAGCGCAGGCACCCCCTGCCCTGGACCTCCCCCCCCCACACACACACGTATGTCATTGTTATCTTTCTTTCTGAGCTATTGGACGGCAGAGTGCTTAACTCATGATGCATTTGCCTTGAATTCTCCACATTGGTCTGCTAACAGCAGGACAAGCCTTTACAGACCACAGTTCTGCTGTCAACTGAGGGCCTTGAGTGCGACAGCCTCCTGTTGTCTGATATCCCCGTGTCCCCAGCTCGCCACTCTTCCCCTTCCCCTATTTGTCAGTATTCCTAGCCCAGGACTGATCCAGGGTTTGAATGCTGTGAACTTTCCATCCCTGTAACCCAGCTGCTCCTCATGGGTGCCGGCCTCACTGTCCCACCCTAACTTGCCCACCCCTGGGCACAGAGCCCCTAGAGCCAGGCTGTGGGAGTTGGAGGCTCGACACGGTCGGGTGGGGCCAGAGATCCCATTCCAGACCAGGGCTTCACTCCCAGCTGCTCTGCCTTTGGGGTCTCAACTGCACCCACAGGGGAAGCTGGGGATCCAGGCTGCAACTGCTCTCAATTTGGGGCACCCACGGGGCCTGCCTGCTGCTTTCCTGGTGTCCTCAGTGGGTCCCCAGAAGTGTGAGTAGCTGAAGGTGGACAGCCGGGTGTGGGTTCCCATGCCCTCTCTGTGCTCCCTCCGCCCCAGCAATATTACATCTTGCTCATCCTGACGGACGGTGTGGTGACAGACATGGCAGACACGAGGGAGGCCATTGTGCGCGCTTCCCACCTGCCCATGTCCATCATCATCGTGGGCGTGGGCAATGCCGACTTCACGGACATGCAGATCCTGGACGGGGATGATGGTGTCCTGCGCTCCCCGCGTGGTGAGCCCGTGCTCCGGGACATTGTGCAGTTCGTCCCCTTCCGCGAGCTCAAGAATGTGAGTGGTTGGGTGCGACTGGTGACCGAGGGCCCAGGCTACTGTGGGGTGGGCCTGGGGGAGGTGCCTGCAACCTTGGCAGCTCACAGTCCAGTGGGTCCCAGGTCTTTCTCCCTCCCTCTCAATATCAGTACCTGCTGTACCGGCTCTCAGGGCCGAAAAACCTTTCTGTTATGAAAAACATCAGTCTTACGCAAAAGATAGTGGTGTGAAGGACCCTGGGAGCTCACCACGCAGCTTTCCCTAGTGGCTTTCAAATCTGGGTGATGACAGTAACACACACACACACACACACACACACACACACGGAGTTGTGAAGCAGAGACACAGCAGATCACTTCCTGCCTTGCCCTGTCTCCCTGTCGGTGCCAGAGAACAGGAACATACCTTCCCAGAGGGGCGGTGGGGTTATGTGAGTACAGAGGACACCTGGGACAGTGCCACGCCTATCTAATGTCACAAACCGTGACCACCTCGAGCCTTGCATGCACATACCGTTGGGGCTATAGCCATGGAAATCTGGGAGGTGGTCTACTAAATTGACTCCATGACACTCATGGGTGGAGACCATCCTGAAGGACCCAGCCAGCCGCAGAGGATGGGTGAGGCCTGGGGAAGGAGGGATGGGGCTGGGAGAGGGCCAGGAAGGCCCCCAGCTTTGTTTACCTTGTCCTCGCCTGTAGGCGTCCCCCTCGGCACTGGCCAAGTGCGTGCTGGCTGAGGTACCCAAGCAGCTGGTGGAGTACTACAGCCACAAGGAGCTGCCACCACGAGGCCTCAGTACCCCCTGCCAGGAGGCAGGCCCGGGCCTGGCCCCCTGAGGATGCCTGGAGGAGGGCTGGCCAGGGGCAGGGACGAGTGTGTCCACACACTCCGTCAGGGTCCCTTCAGCCCCCAGAGACTCCCCAGAGGCCTCCTGTCCCCCAGCCCAGGCCTTGTACCTCATCCCCCCATGATCCTGTGAGTCTGGGTCAGCACTTGAGCTCTGAAGTTGAAGGATGAACAAACCCAGACCCCAACTGAGACCCAGGCAGGAGCCACTGAGCAGTGGCACTGGGAGTACCCCCATGTCTGTCCCGGTCCAACCTGTGAAGGAAAGGGGTACTGAGAGCAGGGGTGCTCAGTAGCCCCACAAAGGGGCCTTGTCCCTAATGGAGGGGAGGGACGTGGGTTGGACTCTGCAGCTGATGTTTGTGGGGAAGCTTCCCAGGCCTGACGAAGCCCCAGAAGCCTCTTGGCCCCTTTCCCAGCTAGGATTCCCTCCTTCTCCCCACTTTTGCACTCGCCCCCCCCAGCTCTTTGCTGCTGCAGGACTGTGGGAAGGGGCTTCAGGCAGAATAAAGTATCATAAAGTGTCGTCTTCTCCTGGCAGCGGTCTGTGCCTTTCCTGCCCCCCTGGTCTCCCCATCCTTGCCCCCTGTCCCTTCACTTGACACCCCTGTACAGGTGGGGGCTGCAGCCACAGCCTCTGAGCCTCCTCCTGCTTGGAGCGTGCTGAGGGGACAGAAGCCTTCTTTGGGAATCCATGCGGCCAGAACCCACTGCCATCAAGTCAATTCCAACTCAGAGAGACATTAGAGGACAGTATAACCGCTCCATAGGTTTCCAAGGCTGTCAGTATTTGCAGAAGCAGACAGGAAGTCTTTTGAGGAGCAGCTGGTGGGTTTGTACGGCCAACCTTCTGCTTAGCTGCCAAATGCCTTAGCCACTGCGTCTCCATGCAAGCCAGGACATCATAGATGGCCACTTTGATTTAATTGGATAATTGTTATTGAATAATTATCAGTAATTCCACAAATGGCTGTGTAGGGTTGGTACTGGCTGTGTGGGTCTCGGCCACCCTGGAAGAAGACCCAGCATGGCCTCAGACCCTGCCCTCTGTGTCCTGGGACCCCACCCTGGCCCCTCTGCCCCTGGCCTTTCTGTCCTTCTGTCACTGACAGGTGGGACAGTGGGGTCCTGTGGAGGTGGGTTTCAGACTGAGCTTTTTCCTGGATTTTCTTGCGATGGAGAACCAAATCGTCCTGACCTTGAATCCAGGCCCAGGTATCTACCCATCCATCCATCTATCCATCCATCCATCCACTCCAGGGGCTATTTTTAGCTCCTGATTCATCTCCTGTTAACCGGGGATAATAGGCATCACCATGGTAACCCAGCTATGGGTGCCTCCGGAAGGGCCGATGTTGGCAAGGTTGGTCTCTTTGGGGATGGAAAGGACGAGAGAGACCCCTCCTCATGCTCCTGGGGCAGCAGCATGAGGGGTGTTGTGAGGCCTGACGTTGAAGGCCAGGTGTCCGACACATCCTGACCAAGGCCCCTTGGGGCTTTGGACAGCACCTGGCATCAGCGACAGAAGTACTAGATGGTGCCTGGCTCTGCTGAATGAAGCTGGGGGCCCTGGTCAGCTCCCTGCAGGACACAGACAGCACAGAGGGGCTGGCTAGGAAGAAGCGGGCAATGGTCTGTGAACAGCACTGGGGATCCCTGGGGCAGCCTCCTGGGGAGCCGCTGCACCCCTTGGCCAGGCGGGCCGGTGCGGGACCTGGTGAGCTGGGCCAGGGGGAGGGTCCCCTCCAGGAGCTGCTGCCCAGGAAGGTACCTGGGTCCCAGAAGCGGGTGGGGAGTGGGGTGTAAATACACCACCTCCCTCCTGCCTTCCATCTCCCACTGGAGCTGCCGTTGGCTGAGGGCACCAGGCCGCAGAGAGCAGAGCAGTCAAGAGGGGCCCGACGGGGTTGGCTCAGGGCAGAGCAGGAGTCCGAGAGGGGACCCAGGACAGGTGGCCAGAAGTCCTGAGGCCTGGCCCGGACACCTGTGGGTTAGTCCAGCTCGTCCTCAGTTCTTCAGTGTCTCCTAGCCGTGAGCGGGGCCCCCCACCTTGCTCCTACTAGCTTGGATATGGATTTTCTGAAGGAGCAGAGCCAGACTGTGTACATCTGAGACCCCGAGAGCTGCAAGGAATGGGCATCCTGCCCAGGCTGCCCCTTCTCAGAGGCTGGAGTCAGGGCTGGGAAAGGGCCCAGAGGCTCTTGGGGGTATCTGGGGCGTCAGGGCTGGCCCAGAGTCAGGCTGGATGCCTGGTGCTGGCTTCTAATAGCCACGAGTCATCCTTCAGTCTGTCTGTCCTCCCACTGAGAGGTGGGGTCTCCATGTCCCCCCCAGCATCATGCCCTGTGAATCAAGGCCAGGTGGTACCATACCAAGTAACTCTGCCTGGCTGGCTGAGACTCTCACCCTTGGGACGCAGTCACCATTCTGTGAGGACGCCCAAGCAGACTGGAGAGGAACTGAGGCCCAGCCGAGCTGAACTTCCAGCCGGCTCCATTTGGGTGTGGCACCGGGACACTGGCACCCCCAGCCACGGTCACCATCTTGATGGCAACCTCATGAGAGACCCTAACCCAGACCCAAGCCTTCTTCTGAGTTCCAGACCCATGGAAACTGTACAAGCCAATCAGTACTTGTTCTTCTTCTTCCTTTTTTTAATTGACTGCAGTTTATTAATTGCACCAGCATTTTGGCGTAATCTGTCATGCAGCAGTCAGTGACGAACACACCCCTTCACAGCAATCACGTAATGACTAGATGTATGTGGTCACACAGTCTCAGCCCACAGGCCCACCTGGCTTCTCCTAACCCTTCTGAGGGATGGTCTTACTAAAGCACCATCCTTTTATTTTAAATGTGCCCCTGCCCCGTGACCACCTGCCACCCCCACAGGTCCTCACCCGCCCGACCCTCTATCTGCCAAGGTGGGACTCCGGCTCAGCAGTGGGCTGGAGCGAGAGGGGCAAAAGGGACAGGCCAGCTTCAAGGCTGTTCTTTCTTCCATTGCCGAGAGGAAGCGCAGGCAGGAAGTTGTGACTAAGCGCTTGTAATTGGTGCGGGGGTGGCACAGGGCTGTCAGACAGGAGCTCAGCCTGCCCTTGGCACAGGGGGGCTGGGGAGAACGCTGTCTACCTCGCCCACTCTCTCCTCCACTTCACCCGCCCTGGTGCTCCTCCCCAAGCAAAAGGCACCCCGGCACACACACGCACACGCACAGGCATGCATGCACGCGCACACACACGCACAGAACCCGCCCAGAGCACCCCGGCACACGCACGCACACACGCATGCACTCATGTGCACACACACGTGCACAGAACCCGCCCCCCACCCAGAGCCACACAGCAGCCACGTTGAGCTCATGTGGTGTATTTCTTGCACTCGGGCACCCATTAGGCTTGGCTCAAGCATCGGTGTGCTAAAATTTACAACAGCCCCATGTGGCCAGTCTGGCTGTCAGCCACATTTCTCAGAAGGGGACAGAGCTGAGAGAAATTAAGCCACTTGGCCCAGGACACACAGCTGGGTGGGACAGAGTAGGGCTGTGAGTGGGCCTGGTATGTGTGCATGGTCCTGGCCTCAAAGCCTGAGCCATCAGGCCCCGGCTGTGCACGTGTGCGCGCGGCAGTGTGTGTTTGTGTGTATGTACATGTGTGCATGGTGATATGCCTATGTGTGTGTAGTGTATGTCAATGTGTATATGTGTGCACATGTACGTGTGTGCATCGGTATGTATATGTATGCCCTGTGTGCACATGGTGTGCATGTGCATACATGTGTGGTGATGCCTGTACATGTGTGCACGTGTGTGCATGTGTGTGTCAGGAGGGGTCTCTCAGCTGCTCTATGGAGGACATTTCTGAAAACCTCCAGCCATGCATGGGGCTAGGCCACAGTCACCTCCCCTTGTGTAGCCCTGGGAGGCCGTTCCCCTGTTGCACGGGTGAAGCCAGGACTCAGGCTGGGATCTGGGGCTAGACTTGGGTAACCATGACCCACTGGAAGCTTCTGTTTCCCAGCCATAAACGGAACCCAGGCACAGATGATGGGCAGGGTGGGAGTCGGCCCGGTCTGAGGCCCCCACCAACTACACCTAGCTCCCTCCCCTTACACAGCTTAGCCAGACTGAGACCCTGTGGCCAGAGGCCCCCTCTGCTCTCTCACCTGAGACACGGAGGGAAGGGCGACCTCCCGCCACAGGCGGTCAAGGAAGTGCCTACCTTAGGGTCTGGGTGCTCAGCTGGGAGGGCTGGACATGGGGGCCCCATCCCGTCAGCAGCCTGGCTTCCATGTCCTGCCAAGCACTGCCCTGAGCTTGGGTTCCCACCAACCTAGCCTTTGCAGGACGTACAGGAGGGCTGGTGGGATTGGGGAGGCCTGGGCAGGCCCTTCAGTCCTGAGAAAATCCTCAGGCAGAGCCCCCAGAACTAGGGGTCAGGAACTCAATCAGTCTGTTTCCAGCTTCTTCTCTTCCCAGTCATGGGGGCCTGAAAAATACCCGCACTGAATCCCCAGCCAGGTAGCTGCTGGCACCATGAAGTCCACCGGCCACCACTCATAGGTACCAGCGCTGGGGGGCAGGAAAAGGTGCTGGACATGGGCAGCAGGTGCCCACCTCCAGCCCCGAGCCCAGAACATGTGTGCTCAGACACTGGCAGGGGGCCAGGGAAGCGAAAAGCAGAGTAAACAGCGTGCTACTTGATGTGCCAGGAGAGAGGATGTGTGGTTGTCTGGCAGAGACGAGGCCCTCAGGAGCAGGCCTCGTGTGGTGACCTAGACAACCCTCCATCATACCTCCTGGAGGGCACCACCCAGCCTCCAGGCCTCTGCCCAGCTGTGGGCAGGCACAGGTTGGTCTGGGCACCAGGCCAGCATGTCCCCTCTCCCTGCCCACTGGGCAGTGCCATCCTAAGTAATGACACGTGTGTAGACTCAGTGCCTCCGAGCAGAACGGGGTCTCTTTGTTCCCAGCCTGCCGCCATATGGAGCG